GCGCTCGCGACCCCTAACCTTGGACCTCCTCATGAACGACCAAAGACCAGCTCAATACCTCCCGCACAGGATCAAAAACAGGGAAGCAAGGAGAAGCGACCAAGAGTCAAACAGCAAAGCAACCAAACCCACCGCCGGCCAGCTCAATACCTCCCGCACAGATCAAAAACAGGGAAACAAGGAGAAGCGACCAACCGTCAAACAACAAAGCAACTAAACCCACCAAAGACCAGCTCAATACCTCCGCACATATCAAAAACAGGGAAACAAGGAGAAGCGACCAACACTCAAACAACTAAGCAACTAAACCCACCGCCGGCCAGCTCAATACCTCCCGCACAGATCAAAAACAGGGAAACAAGGAGAAGCGGTCAGCAAACACACAGACACAGCAAAAGCAACCAAACCCACACCGCGGACCAGCTCAATCAATACCTCGTGCAGATCAAAAACAGGAAACAAGGAGAAGCGACCAACCGTCAAAGAACAAAGGGTGTGAAAGCCCAAACTTTTGGGTCGGCAAGGAGCAGTACCAGCAGGCCATCCGCACCTTGCACCCCACGTGTGAAAGCCGAACTTTTATGTCGGGCCGAGAGAGCTCTCACAGTACACACAGACGCACAGTAACCGCGGCGGCCATTTAGCATTTTTGTTCAAGTTCCTCATCTCGCTTCTCGGTCTGCTTTCTGTGCTTCAATTGCTCACATGCGTCCTTGGAAGTTGTGTGACCTCCTTTCACCTCCTGCTCTCGTATGCCATGCTGCTATTTGTTTATTTACCCTCACAGAGCGTACACCGCGGGCGCCTCTTGCGGGCCGGAGCCCTTAGCCACCGCGCGGTCAAAAGTCTACCGAAAATCGGCGCCTGCGGCGGGCTGGGGGACCGCTTCTCCCCCCGCATGGGTACGCCCTCCTGGGCCCCGCGCCCCCCCAGAGCAATAAGTGCTACTGAGTAGTGTGGCGCTCCCTCATGAGGCATGCGCAGCCTCGAGACCCACAACCCCCGTGTCAGCGCAACGGCGCGGGGCGGAGGGAGGCGACGCTAGTACCAGAACGGCGGCTCGTCGCCACCCTCCCATGGCGGCGGCACCTCGCCTACAGGGAAAGTTTCGGGAAGGTTCCGAGAATGCTCCCGGCCTCTCCCGCGGCGGCGGAAGCCTCGCCGGGCGGCGGCGGCGGGAAGTCTGGCCCACTAGACTGTTGCCAGCCGCGCATCCACTCCTCTCTCCTCCACTGTGGCTGCGGGGCGGCGGGAAGGCGGAAGGAGGCGTCATTCATGCGGCTTGGCGCGCGCGGCTGGCAAAGGCGGCCAGCAAGGAGGCGGCGGCGGCGGCGGCGGCGGCGGCGGCGGCGGCGGCGGCGGCGGCGGCGGCGGCGGCGGCGGAGGCGGCGCGCAGAGAGGGGCGTGCGAGCGGCGGGGGGTGGAGTGAGCGCGGCAGCGAGCGGCTGGAGTCGGTAGCATGAGTTGGAGACAGCGTGAGTTCAATGGCGTTGTGAGTGCCGGCGGCGGCGAGTCTCACCCCAAACTCATCACTGTACCCAAACTCAGCATCGCGCCTCGCGAAGAAGGCGCCCTCGCCGGCGCTGCTGGCGTAGAGGATCGCGCCGACCCCGCCCACACTCAACAAAATCACGGGCAGAGCCCCCAGAGACAGGAAGAAGAAGAGTGCGGCGGCGAAGCCGCCCACCGCCGCGAGACCGCCGAGGTAGCGGAAAATGTCGCGCTCGACGTCGCGAAAGGGCGCGCCGCGCGGGAGCAGCTCGTCTACCCGCGGCGGGCGCGGTGGCGGAAATAGCTGCATGACGGTGCCGGCACGCGGAGCGTGCAAGCGCAATGGGATCGGACGCAATGGGATCGCAATGGGCATGCCCGCCGAGGCTGGCACATGCCGCTTGGGCACATGCCGCTCAGGCCGCTTTACCTCCAGGGCGACTGGGCGCGAGCCGCCGCCGTGGAGGGCCGGAGGAGGCTGCAGCAGCGCTGCGGCGCCCGTAGAGATCAGTAGGACGAGATGGAAGGGCATACGAGCTTCCCCGGGGCTTGGGGTGGACGGCTGGGCAAGCCTTGTTATGAAGTAATCCCCGCGTACTGTGCGCTGGTCTGTGAGAGGTTCACACCAGAATGGTGCCGTGCAAGAGAAAGCGGACACCGAACAAGAACACAACGCACTGTCTCACATGACAAGCGATCCCACGACAGCGATTGATTGTGGGGACTACATGATCCGTACGTGAATGAAGGGTGGAGGGGCCCGTCCGCAAGGCACAAAGGCATACCAGATCGGGCACCTCAGTCTACTGCGGTTTCGGCACGGGCACGAGAGGCAAGTGTCACAGCGGACCCTCGACGCGGTGCGCGAGGCGCAGGGAGCCGGGGTCGAGCCGTGGAACACGGCAGAGCACGACAAGGCAGTCCACGGCCCAACGCCCGAAGGCGGGACGACGAACCCGATGGAGAGCGAGCCGCCAGTGAGTGAGACGTACGACGACGAGGGAGACGACGAGAAAGACGAGAACGCCTCGGCGGACGACGAAATGGCCTTTATCGACGATGCGTTCTTCGAGCTCCCCGACGCAGCAACGGAGGAAGGGGCGGAGGGCGGGGGGAGCCAGAGTCAGTACAGCCAACAGAGTCAGGGGAAAGAGAGCGAGGGGAGCCAGAGCAGCCAAGGCAGCCACAACAGCGCCTCGAGGAGGAGACAATCGAGCCACAATCGCCGCTCGGCGCGACGATTCATGGACCGACTGAGGCTCGAGCTGCTTCTCGGGCACAGGGGGACCGAAACTAGTCAAGCCCGCGCCGGCCAAGACAACGACGACAGCGACGAGGGCGCAAGGAGCGACGACGAGGAGACACCCGACCGTGCAGCAGAGCCAGGACCGAGCGAGCAACCACCCGAAACGGGCCATCCGAACGATGGCAGCCAGGAATTTTTAGGTAAAATGACAATAGGATAAGCATAAGGAAGCGCTGGACCGCTCCGGATGACGTTGGCCTTTCCGAGGGTTTCCTCTCGCACCCTACCTGGTTTCCTTTCCGTGTTTCCTGCTCGTTTCCCTACAACACCCTCTAGTTTCCTCGGGAAACCCCGGGGAAACTCCGTGGAATTCGTCATTTTGGGGGGGCTCTGAGCCGTGTCTGAGGCTGTTTTGGGGCCAAAATCGGCAAAATACCGGGTATTTTGCGGGTATACCTCTGGAAAACCCCGGTATACCTGGAAAATACCTGGGTATCGTGCCGATTTCCTCAATTTTGCCCCAGATTTTGCCCCAGACCAGCTCTCAGACTCAGGGAAACTCGCGAGTTTCCCGAGGGAAACTCGCGAGAAACAGAATGGAGCACCAAACACCCTCTGGTTTCCCTGGAAACTTCCGGAAACGCAAAGTGCTGGGGACCCTCTGGTTTCCCTCTGGGTTGCCGGAAACCCTCGGAAAGGCCAACGGATGAGCGGATGTCGCCAGTCCGCAGTCTGCCACCCACTTGGGATGACAGGAAGACGCACACACCTCCATCCACACCGCCCAGAACACCGCAGACTTGGGCAAATGACAAGTGCGCGCGCCGCAAGGGGCGAAGAGAAAATTTTTCAGCGGGGCTCCTGTTCACACTCGTGTGTGGGCCCTTTCTTGTGGGGCCGCGCCTGAGGCGCGCCGTGGTTTCTTAGATTTTTGCGGAAATCGCTCGGCGTGGTTTCTTAATGGTAAGGTCTCTTAATGCCCGCAACAGACTGTAGGGGAGGAGGACAGGGTCCACCGGGCGTGATCGACGCACGAAGTTTTACTCGTTCCTGCTTTCGAGCTTGGCGGCGACAACCGCAGAACCTCGAGCATGCAGCAGGCGGAGCCGATCGCTCAGCTCGCGACGCGGCACCTCTACCTCGAGACCCCCGACAGCGAGCTCCTGCAGTTTTGTTTCGTCCGCACTCCGGTGCGCGAGCTTGTTGCGCCGCTGCCTTACCTGGTCGACCCGCCTCCTCCGCTGCCGCTGCCGTGCCCAGAGGTGCTCCCTCCGAGCATTGTGCTCGCGGCGTGCGCCGCTGTGGATGCGGAGGAGGCAGTGGGCGCGCCCGCGCCCGCGCCGCTGGACCCGCCTGGCCGAGCCGCTCTCCTCGCAAGCCTCCAACGGGCTCTGCTGCTCGGGCGAGAGCTTCCCGCAGCCGCGACCGCCTTGCCCGACGAGGAGTGGCGGGCGGCCCTTGCCGAGACGAGCAGCTTTGGCGGCGGCCTCTCGCCGGAGCACCTCTGCCGCCTCTCTCGGCGCGCGGCCCGCCTCAGAGCACCGCGCTGCGCCCCCTGTGAGCGCCCTCCCCGTTGGCCGGCCGCAGGGAGCTTCGCGTCGCGCCGCTGGCCGAGTGGCTGGTCATCCACATGATCCCGCCGCTCGCCTCCGCCCTGCCGCCCGAGGACGACGAGCCACTGCCCGAGCCTTTGTCGGATGCGTTTTGTCAGCTGCTGCACGCGAGTGGGCTGCTGCGGCTGTCCGCCGCCAGCTTTGACGAGAGGGTCGTGTTGCCCCTGCGCGCGGCCGTGGGCGGCGGCCCGCGGGCGGCAGCCGAGGCGGCGCTAGTCTACGTCGCCGCGTTAAGCGAGGCTGCCAGTGGGCCGGAGGGATGAAGGACCAAAGCCGTGCACATATTCGTCGCCGCGTAGATAAAGCTCGCACTCATGTTGAAGACCGACGACCGCGCAGCCGTCTAGTCGACGGCCACACACACACACATAGTGTCCTTACCACTCGGGGAAGACTGCACCTGTGCAGTTTCGTACCGCTGCGGCGCGGTTTTGCAAAAACCGTTCTGCAGCGGCGCGGTTTTGCCCTTCACCCGCAGCCGTAGATCTCACGAATACGGCTTTAGAGTCAAGCCGTGGCCCACAGGGCCGCGGGACAGGACACTTGTTTGTAAGTTTTGGCAGTCTATTTCTGTCAGTAATTTGGATACAGCTTGTGAGTGGTCACTGACTTCACAGTTGGTGGCGGCGGGGCAACGATCCCCGGGACATTACGACAACATGTCGTCGACGGCGGACACAAAAGCTGGAGCTTCAAGCTGGTGATTCCGGCCTACAACCTGGGCTCCGAGCGGGAGCACACCGAGTGGCTCCGCAACCTGCGGACCTCGGCGAAGCAACACAAGTACCTCCTCGACATCACCGAAGAGGGCACCATCCGGCCGGGCGCGGAGCGCGAGGCCGAGGCGGTGGCGATGCGCGTGCGCTACAAGTCGGCCGGCGAGACGGCCGACATCCCGGCCTAGATCGACACGTTCTTCGAAAACCTGTCGAAGACCCTGTCCCGCCAACTCATCTCTACGGTGCGCTGCAGAACGCCGTCAAGGACGACGAGACGCTGACCGAGCTGTTGGCGGACGAGGACGCCGACCACTACGACGACATCAAGAAGGGCATCGCGGCGATCAAGTCGCTCATCGAGTCGGAGGACCCGAACTCCAAGAACGTGCGCACGAAGGCGCTGCGCGCGGATCTCGACAAGGCGATCTCCCCCGACGCTCTCAAGGACCTCACGTCCGCGAGCCTCGCCAAGTACAAGACCGGCATCGAGCAGGCGAACAAGTTGCTCAAGGGCTCCCAGTGGCACCTCCCCGACGAGGTGTCGAGGAATACATCCTCGACGCGATTGGCGCCAAGGGGGCCACGCTCGGCGCAAACATGCGCGTGCAGATCAGCATGCAGCGCCGACTCGCCGAGATGTCGAACAACACGTACGGCCTCAAGGCGTCCACGCTCGCGATGCAGGGCATCCTCGACCAAGACAACGCGGACCGCGCCAACGAGGCCAAGGAGGCTGCGCACGCGGCGTTCGAGGCGGAGGTTGCCTCGCAAGGCGCGCTCAAGGAGAAGTTCGCGGCCGCCGAGTCCCAGGTCGCCGCTCTCCAGGCGCAGATCAACTCCGACAAGGGCGGCGGGGACCGCGGCGGCCGCGGAGCCGGTGGGCGCAAGCCGTGCCCCCACTGCGGCGGATTGCACGGCGGCAAGTGCGCGGGCGACCTCATCTGCAAGGGGGTCCCTGTCGCCAAGGTGCTCGAGGAGCTCCCCGACCGCATCGACCCCGAGACGAAAGTGCGCATGGCCCAGTCCTCGTACAAGAAGGTGTGCGCCAAGCACCCCGGACGCACCCTCCCGCACAACCCCTTCGCCAAGAAGTCGGACTCCACCGCGGCCGACCACTCGGAGGTGCGGGCGGCGCTGGCCGACTCTGTCACCCGCACGTTCGACTCGGACGGCGTCGTCGGCGGCTTTGTCGCTGGCGTCAACACCGACCAGGTCGAGGACACCTTCCCTGAGTCCAACCCCATGACACAGCCGCGCCACTTGCACCGGCCGTCGGACTTCTCTGGGAGGCGATCTTCTGTGTCAACCTCTCACAGACCAGCGCACAGCGACCTCGGATGTATGATCAGAGGCAGAGCCTACGAGGGGTGGTGGAACCACATGTCACGGCCACCGCCGGCTCGACGCGACGATAGCCTCCGGAGGCTGACTTTGTCTTGAGCAATTGCGAGGCGCACCATCATCGGGGACGATGTCGCGACGAGCTGGGTCGCTCTCGCGGTAGCCAGGTAGCCCCCCATACTAGTAGCACCAGCCATGGCCTCAGGGAGCGCGGGCGAGGGCGCTGGGAGCAACACGGACAAAGTAACATCAAAATTCATCATTTCCACAGCATCCGTGTATTTGCAACTAGTCAAGCGCCGGCCGGCCACGCGACCACCCCGTCGTGTGTGCCGCCGGGGATGCGCAGCGGACCCTGGAATCGCTCGGATCGCGTGCAACTGGAGGACGCGGTGTGTGTCGCATGGTTGTTCGGTGCGTCGCAGGTCAGGCTGATAAGGACTGGCTACGCGACCATCGAGATCGAGCTGAAGAACGAGAAGGCCGCGGGGCGGCGACCGCGAGTCGGAAAAGGCGGCGGAGCGCTCGTACATCGAGCGCACCGCGCCAAAGGAGAAGGAGCTCACCAAGGAGCAGCTCGCGGCAAAGGCCGCGGCACGCAAGGCCAAGAAGACCCGGCAGAAGGCGCGCCGGGCGCAGGAGGCCGGCGAGGCCGAGCGCGCGGAGCCCCCGCGCGCGCCCGCAGCTGCGCGAGAACATCCAGTACGTGATGGCCGGGCTGCGGTCTGCAGCTGCGCAGGCGCACAGCCAGGCCGGGTCCAACATTGGGGTCGAATACTCGCTGCCCCCGGAGATGGACGACGGGTATCGACGCGGCCCCAGCAAGCTGTACGCCACAGTTCCCCAGGGGACCGTGGCGACGACGGTCGCACCAGACTGGCTCGCGAACGAGCTGGCCGGGCGCGGCAAGGTTGATGCGGCATGCCGCGACCGCATGGTCATGCACCTGATGACGGCCGCCGGCGCCTCGGCGCCGGCCGACGCCGTGTTCAGGTTCACGGCCGGCGAGGCGATGCAGACCGAGAACGACGAGGAAGGAGGACACCGACCGCTCCGAGGAGTATTCCGACGACTGGAGGGTGTCCGACTTGTAGCTGGCCTCACCCATATCTTACCCCTTCTTTCTGCCCCCCCTCCTCCGACCCCCCAGGCTAGATGGAGCACACAGATAAGCCAGATGAAGATTCTGCCCCACACAGCCCCTTTATAGAGAGAGAGATTTTTAGCAATACCAAACAACTCTAACACTCAACGTGATTTGGGGCCTGGAGCCCTGTTCACGCGCGCGCGAGACGTGCAGACCTTTATATGATCCCTTCACCTTCGCCTCGCTGCTTGGTGTTTCTGAACACGTAGTCGTCCACGCTGTGGGGGTTGTGTGCGGGTTGTGTCTGGGAGGGAGGGAGTGGGGTGCAGGTTGCTCACCCACCCACGGCACCGGGCCGGTGCTTGCACTTGTGGATTTGGGCACCTGGGTGTGGATGGAGTGTGGAGGAAGCAAGTTCGTACATCTACCCCCGGTCTTGATCGAGTCGGCTCGGCGATCACCGCTGCTGCAATGACAATCGACGGCGTGTTGCAGCTCGACGCAGTTGCAGACGAGCTCGTACATGAAAACTTCACGTGCGACACGCGCGACCACGAGGACCACACCTTTTGCGGCATCATGTTTGATCTCGCGTGCGAGACTGAGCGGCCTGTGGAGTACATTGAGATCTCGTCGGTGCACGTTCGTGGCGCGCTCGGTCCGATGACGGTATGGACGACGCCGGGCTCATTCTCCGGCAAGCATGAGACGGAGGAGGCGTGGACAAAGGTGTACAGCGAGACGCACGCCCGATCGCACAACGAGCTTGTCGAGCTGCGGCTCCAGAGCCCCCTCCGCCTCAAGCCGGGAGAGAGGCTCGGCCTCTACGTTCACTCGGTCTCGCCAGCACACCTGCAGCGTGCTCAAACAGACAATTCCTAGACCCTCCAACACACCGCCAGCACACCTCCAACACAAGTTCCCAACCCCTCCCCGAGAGAGCGACGCGTCCCGTCTTGCGGTGCCCGCAGGCCCTCCCCGGCGACGAGGGCATCGTCTACGACAACTGCCGCCGCTCGATCTCCTACCACGACCCGCAATTCGTCGTCTACTCGGGCATGGCGCACCTCTCGTACCGCCCATTCGGCACGTCCGGCTTCTGGGGCAGGCCGTGGCGGCCGAACCGGGAGTTCGTCGGCCGCGTCTCGTACGGCGCGGCGAGCGTGTGATCGAGCCGCTCGCACAGTTCCCTCCCGAGGCGTGACCCGAGGCGGCTGCCGCAGGAGTCCGCTGGAAGATGTGGTCGCCGTCCGTGCACGCCCAGTTCCCTCTCGGCTTCCGCGAGGCGGTGCGGACGGTGCGCCGACCGCTCGCCCTCTCGTGCTCGCATCTCCCCTTCTCCTCCCCCCCCCCCCCCCACCCCCACCCCCCCCCTGCCCTCTGCCCGCCCGCAGGTTCTGATGGGGAGTCGGAGGACGGAGTCGCTCCTCTACCTGCTGCAGGACGAGATCATCCTCTTCACCTTCAACAAGATCTGGTGGAACGAGTGGGGGACACAGATGGGCGCGAGCAGCACCGGCGCCGCCGCGCCCTCGGCGCCGCCCGCCGCCTCGGCCTCCTCCTCGCCATACTCCTCCCCGTACGGCCACTCCTTCTTCGGGCACCCCTTCTTCTTCGGGGCGGGAGGAGGTTCGTCGAGCGGCGGGTGCGGGTCCTCCTCGGCAGCCAGAGGCAGCCTCGCCAGTTCCGTGCGCCGGCTGCTCGGCGACAGCGACGAGGAGGAGGAGGAGGACGAGATGTCGGAGGAGGAGGAGGAGGCTGGGTGGGCGCGCTGGGCGGAGCTCGGCGACGAGGAGGAGGCGGACGACGACGACGATGACGAGGAGGAGCAGGAGGAGCAGGAGGAGGAGGAGGAGGAGGGGGGGGGGGGCGAGGCGATGGACGAGGGAGAGGGGGCTGGAGCGGGCGCCGCCTCGGCGTCTGGCGCCTGCGGCCGGATCGAGGAGGGCCTGCAGCGGATGGCGTGGATGCTCCCGCCGCCCGGGCCAGAGGCGCAGGGCTCCGCAGAGATGTAGCGCGCCGCCGTGTCGACAGGGCATCTCTCCCTCGCCGCACTCGCACCCGGCGGCTGAGAGTTTGCAAGCTGGTGGATGGGCGATAGTAGATGGCGCACGATGCTTGTGCGGGCACTATGCCCATATGCCGTATCCGAGCCAACCACATAGCGGGGTCGTTCGTGTCGTCGCGTTTGTGTAGAGAGGAGTTCAGGACTAGGCCCAGGTGGGCTTGGGGCCAGGGCGGGGGGGCGGGTCGGCTTTGCCATGTAATGCCTCGTCCAGCGTCCAGGGACTCCACGTGTACTGTACGCAAGAGCAACGTGTTTCATCCGAACAAACAGTAAAAAACTGATGAGCTCGTTTACCTCTCGTAGCCGCAGCCGTAGCGCCGTGCAGCCCCAACTCCAGCCCAACTCTTGCCGCTCTTCCGTGCGGTCGGGTTGTGACGAGGGGTGAGGGGACACGGATTGAAGATCCCTCACACCAAGATCGTGCAGGGCGGGGACACATGTCCCTAAATCCCATCTCCTTTCAGAGTTTGACCGTTTTATTTATTTATTTAGGGCGCATCGTGATCAGAAAAGGTATCAGGCGTGAAATTCAGGGGAGGGGGGCAGAAGGCAGTTTGCCTTCCTGGTAGAGCATCTTCTGGAGCTTGCCAGATTCAGCCAAGGCCTGCACGTCGCTATTACCGCCGACGTGCTGGCCTTTGATCCAGACGGAAGGCACCGTACGCTGCCCCGTCATTCTGAGAAGGCAAGCCTGGATGGCCGGGCCATCTCGGCTGTGGTCGAGCTCGATGACGTGCGGCGGCGTCTCAAGTGTCACCTTCGCCGTGTTGCCATTCGCGCCAAACAGTGCCTTGGTCTTAGCACAGTGTGGGCAGTACGACTTTGAGAAGATCACCACCTCGGCGCTCGCAATCAACTCCTCGACCAGCCTGTGGCACTCGTCGCGCTCCACCTGCGACGCACGCGAGGCTCGTGCCGCCACGTACGCGCCTGCCACGGCTGCGCCCGCAGCCGCGCCAGCGGCAAATTCCGAGATGCGCTCCATACACACAAACTGGGAACGAGCGCCCCCCCGGGGCGGACCGCCGTGGCAGTGGCCGGAGTCGGCCTTTTGTAAGAATTCCTGCGGAGAAAAAAATTCGGGGCGCCCTCTTCTGTCAAAAGCGCCTTCAGAGAAAAATAAAAATCTCTGGAATGTACGTAAGAGCCACAAACGTGCAAGTATTTCTTCAAAGGGAGTTTGCGGCGGGCACGTTCGGGCCGTTCGGGCCGGAGACGATGCTTGGCGCCCTCGGTGGCTCCCGCGTGCAGACGGGCCTCTTCCTGATGTCGTCAGTCAATCTGCTCGTGCTCTGGCGCCTCATCTCACGCCGCCCGCCCATGCGCAACGCCACCGCCACCGGCGCCTTCGCTGCCCGCGATCCCGTGCCGTCGGAGCTTGTGAGGTGGGAGAGTGGTTGGGAGCCGCTAGCCACCACCACGCGGCACCTGGAGGCGAAGGCGTCGGCTCTTGAGCGCCCCCGGACGGAGGCCTCTACACTCGGGCCATCGCCACCTTCGTCGCCTCAGAAGCAGGAGTGGCAAGAGCAGAGACCGAGAGGCGTGGACGCCTCAGCTACAGACCCGCTCAGGCCGCGCGGCGGTCCATCACTCTCGGCGCGTGGCGCTGCCACCTGGCGGGTAATTGGCACACGAGCCCGTAACGAGAGTGATGCGCGGTGGGCGATCCGTGCGAGGCAGGCGATTAGCTGCGGGAAGAGCGCTGCACCGGTCCCAGTGCTGGAGACAGTCCTGCGGCGCCGGCGGCTGCTCCCGCATGAGGCAGCGGTGGCGCTGTGCCGCGGGGCGTGCAATACACCACCGAGGTCGGAGGGCGGCACTGGTGGTGGCACACCGGCATGCAAACCCCAGCTCTGCGACTGCCGCCGAGGCTCGGCCGCGCCTTCGGTAGAGTTTGGCGCCTCCCGGGTGCTTCTTCCGGCGGCGGCGGCCGAGCTCTCGCTTGCTTCGGAGACGCAGCCGCCGCAGAGTCGGCTATCGGCTCGGTCCGAGGCGGTGCGTGCGCTGCGGCGTTACGACTCTGTGTACGCAAAGGCTCGCGGCGAGATGAACGCGACCGCCTGGGACCGTTCCCTCGCCATGCTTGCGCACGCGGGTGAGAACTGCTCCTTTCGCTTCGGGGACGCCTTCAGCGTGTCGCTCAAGGCTCCGACGACGTCGCTCGAGTACGGGGAAGTGGTCCTCGCCGCCACGGCGGCCTACCTTAAGTGCACCGGCCGCGAGTCAGGCGACACCTTTGTGCTCCGAGCCTCTTCTACGTCGGTGGACGCGTTGCTTCAAGTGAGAGATCCGAGAAGGCTCCGAGATGCACGCCACGTGACGCCCCTTCCTCTCGGCGGCGGCGCCGCCGCCCACCCCGCGCTTCTGCGGGCGCCTCAACACACACACCCTCGCTCGACCGTAGCCGACCCCCGTGCGCGACCTCGGCCGCGGCCTCTACTCGGCGGGCCTTCTCGCGGCGGAGCCGGGAGAGTACACGCTTGAGGTGTACTGGCTCAACTCGAGGCACGCTGGCTGGTTCGACATGCACGCCTCCCGGTCGCGCGGCGTCGACCCGCTTGCTCCCGCCCCTGCCACCGGAGGGCAAGCCTCCTACTGCCCTTCGAGCGCCAAGTGCGCCGGATGCTCCGCCGCCCCCCTCCAACGGGTGGGCGAGGGAGCGAATGCCTCGGAGCACTTCGGCGTACGTATCCACTTTAGCGTGGGCGGAACCTGGTTGGACTCCTCGCGGGGTGCCGCAGAAGGCGGCGACGATGGCGACGGCGACGCAGAGCCTCGTGCCTGCGGCAGCGGTAGCTCATCAGGTCGGTGGGTGGGCAACGAGTGGGCTCCGCACAGCTGCTACCTCCTGCGCTACGACGCGCCACTTCTTTCTAGATGCGCTACGATCGCACACCCTCTCAGCCGGTGGGCAGATGACAGTAATGGCGGCGGCGGCGGCGGCGGCGGCCTTCGGCTGCGTCTCTTTGGCGACTCTGTGGTTCGAGGTCTCTACTTTGACCTCGCAGAGCTACTCACGGGCACCAAGCAGGACCGCGGCTGGGCCAAACGGCATGCCGGACCTGGCAAGGGAAAGCGGCTGGCGGTGAGCGTGGGCAACGTCACCGTCTCCTGGTCATGGTGGACACTCAACGAGACAGCGCGAGTCGCGGATCGCAGCTGGCACGAGCGGTGCGCGCGCCGTCCCGGCTCGAGGGGGCCGCCGGCGCTCGCCTGCCGCAGTCCACCCAACCCGGACATCGACGAGTGGGGGCTCGATGAGCCAGAAACCGTGGTGCTCTTTGGCTCCTCGGCGCACAACATGCGCTACGGCTCACTCGAGCGCTACGCCACCGACCTGACGGGGATAGCCACACGGATCGGCGCTGTGCGGCCGATGCGCGCTCGCCTCTTCTGGCTGGTGGGGGCCGCGTCCCACATCTATGACGACGCGGTGCCGTGCGTGATCGACCGGCCCTTCCACCTCATGGGCCACCACCGTTCGGCCCTCTTCTCGGCCGTCGGCGCAGAGGTGATGCGGCACGCAGTGCCGTTGATTGACATGTGGAGACTCACCGTCGACCAACACGCAAACTGCGCCGACCTGCATTGCGACGAGCTGTACATGGCCAACCGTACTGGGGGCGACGGGTTCGTCTCGCGCGAGGCGGCCAACCTCTTTGTCAACGCCGCGTGCAACCGCAGAGTCGTGAGGGATGTAGGCTGAGCCTGCGAGGCTGTGCTCTGTGTGGACTGTGCACCTGAGTGTGGCGCTGTCTGCTGGGCGCTGAGGCGTGCGGTGAGGGGCCGGAGAGCGGAGAGTGCCGAACAAACTGTTAATTTGGGGCCTAACAGTTGCGCTATTGTTGGCTGAAATCCTCAACGTTGTTCAACGAGTGTTCACCCCACAGCGCCATGCTGTTACTTTTTGTTACTGTTGTTACTGTTGTTCAGCGGCCAGCAAGCAGAAAATGCTAAATGGCAAAAAACCCGGGTAAACCCCGAAAATACCTGGGTTTTCCCGGGTATTTACTATTTTCTCGGGTATTACCCGCACTGGACACTAGAGATCGTCGTGGGTCACTGCCAGGCCTTCCTTACTGTTGTTCAGTCGGCCCAACGTTAGCTACTGTTGTTGGGGAGCCCCAGAGTGTAGCAGAGTGTTGTCAGTTGTGTGTTCTCGTGTTGTTTACTGTTAACACTAGCAACACTGTTCAGCTCCTCACGTTAGGCAACCCTATTCCGAACTCGCGCGTCCCGAACTCGGATATTTTTTCTCAAACTACTCTCCGTGTGTAACTGTACGGTTCGAATTCCGCTCTGTGGCGCGACAGCTGGGCGAGAGCGACTCAGCAGTCAGCACTAACGACGATGTGACGGTAAGCTGCCCCACCACGAGACCAGGGGACGGCTCTCGGTGTACGGCTGTGTGCCCTCAACACTAACGGATCTACCGCCTGTACCCCCCCCCCCCACCACCAAAGGCGGCACCGCGCCTCCCCCGCTCAGAGCGCCGCGAGGTCGGCGCCGAGCACGAGGGCGAGCAGCGCCATGCGCACGTACATGCCGTTCTCCATCTGCTCGAAGTAGCGCGCGCGCGGGTCGGCGTCGAAGTCGGTCGAGATCTCGTCGACGCGGGGCAGGGGGTGGAGGACGACGCAGCGCGGCGGCGCGGCCTCCATCAGCGCCTTGTCGACCACGTACGACCCGGCGACCGCGCGGTACGCCTCCTCCGTCGCGAAGCGCTCCCGCTGCACGCGCGTGACGTAGAGGACGTCGGTCTGGGGCAGGACTTGCCGCAGCGCGTCCGTCTCCTCGACGGCGACGCCGCGCGCGCGCAGCTTGTCGCACACGGCTTGCGGCATCCGCAGCTCGGGCGGCGAGACGAGCACGAGCGAGGGCGGAGCCGCGAGCCGCGAGCAGAGCAGCGCGAGCGAGTGCGTGGTGCGGCCGTGCTTGAGGTCGCCGAGCAGGGTGAGCTGCTTGCCGGCCAGGCAGGCGAGCACGTCGGGCGGCGCGGCGCCGGTCTCGGCCCACGCGGTTGCCACTGTGAAGAGGTCGAGCAGCGCTGCGGGCGGGCGACGGCGGCGCAGGAATCGGCGGCGGCGGCGGCGGGCGGGGCGAGGCGAGCGGCGGGCGCGGGTGGCGAGGGAGAGGCGAGGGAGAGGCGAGGGGAGGGAGGGAGGGAGGGAGGGAGGAAGGGAGGGAGAGGGGGGGGGGGGGAGGGGGGGAGGGGGGAGTGTCGGAGGAGAGGCAAAGGCGGGCACACCTTGCGTCGGGTGCTCGCCCACGCCGTCGCCCGCGTTGAGGATCGGCTTGCGCGCGGCGGCGGCGGCGCGTGCGGCGGTGCCCACCTGCGGGTGGCGCAGCACCATCGCGTCGCAGTAGCACTCGAGGCAGCGCACCGTGTCCTCAAGCGTCTCCCCCTTCTTTGCGGACGAGGTCGACTCGGAGACTGAGACGACCTGCCCGCCGAGCCGCTTCATTGCCGCGTCGAAGGAGCACATGGTGCGCGTCGACGGCCTGCGTCGCATGCGTACGCACCGTGAGTGGCGCGCTGCGCAGGCGGGCGGGGCAGGGCCACGGGCGCACTCGTAGAAAACGTTTGCGAGGACGCGGCCGCGCAGAACGTCAGAGCCGCCCTTGGCTGCCACCATGCGCTTCATCGCGGCCGCAGTCTCGAAGACCTCCCGCACCATCGACTCGTCGAAGTCGTCCACCGCGAGCACGTCCGCGCCGCGCCAGGAGCTGGCCGTCGCCATAACTGGGCTGATAACTCGCGGGAAAATAAAAAAGAGAAAAAGAAAAAACTCGCCAATCGTCCGGCCTCTGGGTGCGCATTTTCTAGGTCCCCGGCGCCCTGGGCTGATAAGTGCACTCCAAGTGCGGCTATGGGCTGATAACTGCACTCCACAAGTGCTCCCCCAGCCCCTGCGCCCCAAGAATGAAGAAAGTGCTCCTTTTCCCCCCTTCCTTGTCCAGCGACCAGCCCGAACATCTTCAACATGATCAAAGGGAACTGGATGGATTTGGGCTATCGAGCGCATTTGGAAACTCGGGGAAACTCTAGGCACCACGGGGAGAAGCTAGGAGAGCGGACTAGGTCCAGCCCTGGGTGGCGCAGGTTGTGACATTTGGCGATTCCGCGACTTACTGGGCCCCTGAGCCGCTACCCGTGTGCGATTTTTTGTGGCCCGGACATGATACTGATAGTAAACGGGTCAGAACCGGCCAAACACAGGCTACAGCCCCACACACGCGCCCGCCATAGCTCCTGGAGAGCATGCGCGAGTGACGCGCTGCACAAGCCGCGAGAGTGGCATCAGAGGCAGGAACGACGTGCTCTTGCTGCACCTCGCAGCTGCACCAAGTGTGCTCGCAGTGTATGCCACGGCCACTGCCTGCGGCATTGCTCTCGTGCAGCTAGGCGATGCAGGTCCATCAGCAGGGCTCATCCAATGCGAGCGCACATTGTGCGTAGCCGCGGGCAGGTGGCAGTGCACAGCCGCACACCGGCTGTGGCGGCTCGAATGCCCCCGGCAGTGCTGCTAGTCATCAACTTGCGTATTAGGGCCGCAGCAGACTGCTGCTGTGGCAGCAGCAGCAGCCTGCTGCTGCCTGATTCAGTCAAGCCAGCGGTGCAGCGAGGCGTGCAGAATTCGCGCGGTTTTGTCCCTCCTGAGGCTGAGCGCATTCGAGCCCGTCGACCGGAGTTGGATGGTACCACGCGTCTCACTGAGACGCGGGGTACTGGCCATGGCCGGGCTACGGAGCGTGAGGTGGCGAGCGGAGCGAGCGACAAAACAACGAGAAAAACACGGATCTGAGGATTGTCACAAAACCTCAGATCTTGCGCCACCCAGGGCTGGACCTAGTCAGCGACGGCCGGAGTCGCGAGGCTGGTGCGTGGTGGCATCAGATGAGATCATTTGCCGGATTTTACTTCTCTCTTGCTGTTGGTCGCCGCAGTGGCATCTCCATGATCACGTAACGCTGCCCGTCCTTCTCAAAAGCACGACCGGGCACATCGGACAGCCCTAGTTTGCGGTAGTACCCGGCCTGCTCGACGCGCGCGTTGCACCACAGAGATTTCGCCCCGCCGGCACGCGCGTCTGCGACGAGCCGCTCAAGCAGCAGCGTCCCGTACCCCTTCCGTTGGTGCGACACGCGCGTGCAGAACTTGCGGAACTGCGCGACGCTCTCATCAACGCCCTGGCCCTCTCTCCTCTCCCAAAAGAGCGAGACGACCGAGACGGGCTCGTCTTTGTCGAGGAGGAAGAGACCAAAGTGTCGGCTAGTGGCGGCGTCCTCGTCGCCCGGGATTACGACGTACTCCAGTGGTTTGGAAGGCCACATGACCTCGTGCCGCAGAGGCCAGACCATTTGCGGCGGGATGACACGCACGCTAATCGCTGTCACCGAGTCCGCTGTCGCTGTCGTATCTGCTGCTGCGCTCATCCGCGCAACGTGTGTCTGGCACACAGCGCGCCAATGCACCGCACTGTCTATGGTTGATCGTCGTCTGCCGTATTCGTGCGGATCGGTGTGGATGTGTACAGCCCCTCGGCGGAGTCAAGAGGTGGAAGAAGAGAATTTTACAACAAAACTCCTTCGCACGACACTGGGCACAGGACTGGGCACGGGACTGGCTCGCACTGGCACTAACACAGGTACACCAAGAAGAAGCGCGGGATGGCGGTTGATGACTGCACTCCAAGTGCTCATGGAGGCGGCTAGACACGGGACTGGCGGATAGAAAACAAGAACACAACGCACTCTCTCACATGACAAGAAATCACGACTCTCACAGTGATTTGGGCTCGGCAGCTTGTCAGCCCTCAGCCGAAGCTGGGGCCGGTAAAATCTCTCTCACATGACAAGCGATCCCACGATTGCGAATGTCACTTCCTGTTGTCTGTTGTTTGTTGTGCCCTTGTTTGTTCTTCTGGTGCCTTGGAGTGCTGGGGTGGGCGACAGGGAGGATGTGGCCCTGAGTTATGTGTACGCCTACTCAGGGTGTGTGGCAGCCAGCTGGCTGTGTGTCTTGTGAGCCTGTTTGTGTCTGTGTGTCGCTCGTGCGTGTCGTCATCATCTGTCTAGCGTCCACCCATACCGCGTTGGTGTCCAGTCCGAGCCTGGCTGTTCTTCACCTTTCTACCTACCTACCTACTGCGAATGTGGGGACTACATGATTACATGAAGGGTGGAGGGGCCCGCCTGCAGAGCTAGGCGGCGCGGGCACCCCCCACTGGGGCCGAGGACAAGAAGCCGTTTGTCGCTTGCTTGTTCTTTTGCTTGAGCTTGTTGATCCAGTCGGTACGCTCCTTGCGCGCCTGCTTGTTGATGTTTTCGGCGTCGCCCACCACCGCCGCCTTGGAGATCTGCTGCGTGTGGTGGACGACGAAGGAGGAGGCGCTCGCCGACGCCGCCCCGTACAACGTCCGGTCCGTGTTGGTGCCCGCCGCCTCCTTGGCGAACACGTGGAGGAACTGCTTGGTGGGCGGCGCAATGCCTCCCAAATTTCCACGAGCACCAGCGACCAGCCGCGTTATGGCTTTCTTGACCCACTTCGCGTCGTAGTACTGCGCCCCCAGCCACTTCCAGCCCGTATCCGTCTTGACCCACCCCTTTCCATGTACGGCTCTTACGCGTGGTCTCTTTGACCCATCCCTTTCGTCCAGTCGAGTGGTCGAGCGGTCCGTCCACCTGACGGCCACGCTCCTTGCACCCCACGACTCCCGTACAGCGTGTTTCGGTACTCCTGTTAATGTTGTGGCCAATAAACGGATAGACACGCACGGCAAACGAACTATGTGAGCCGAGGGTGACAGTATACAGTACCACGTATGTAGGACCATGCGATGTCCTCCTAACGTGCCACGGACATGGGGCAGTACACAAATTGCGCGAGGACGAACTAGCAGGCCGCCTCTAATACCGTACCCACTAGCGTGTCAAAACTAATGGTCACTGGACTCCGTCAGATCCTCGGACGCCTCCGCAGCGTCCGAGCGCGGGCTCTCGAGAGCACGGAGGTCAGCAAGGTAGTCGGGGTGCACGCCGTCGAGGCACGAGAGTGAGAGGGCGAGCGCGTCGAGGTCCTGCGCCGGGCGGGAACCATGCGTGTGGAGAGGGTGCAAGCGCCGGCGATGCGAGTGGCAGGCGAAAGGCAAGGGAGCCGATCTCACCCATGCGATTGTCCCCCAGTCAGCCTCGGGGATGGGGTCGAGACTGCTGTCGATACGCACAGAGCAAGAGCTCGAGGCACCGCGTGCTCGCTTTGATCGAGATGGCATGCCGCGAACCCGCGAGGCGCCCGACCCTGTGGCGTCCCTGTGGCGTCCCTGTGCTCTGGTTTGACCTTCTCCGTCCTACGAAAGTAGGTGCCTCTTCTCAAAAAGTCTCACTTTTCTTTCTGAGTTGTTTAAATTCTTTCTCAGTGTATGCCCGAGGGTGAACTGCTGACAGGGTTTGCGATGAGAAGCGATCCGAACGTGGCATTCGGGTGATTAGATCACTAACTACCGCCGTAACGTGTGTGTTCTTCTTGTGTGTGTGTGTGTGCCGCCGTAACGCAAGAAAGAGCACTGCGACGGATCGGTCGGGCTCATGCTAGCATGCTAGCAAACAAAACAAAGTGTTAGAGTTGTTTGGTATTCTCGTCCTCGCACTCAGAGAGCGATTCCTCACCGGAGTGCTCGCAGGTCTTACCAACGATGTCCGTGTGCACCCAGTCGCCGCAGAACATGGCGCGATTTAGATAAAAAGAAAACCAGAATGCCCGGTGCGAAAAAAACCGCCGTTACCTCGGCACCACACAACCGAAGGTACCACAACCCATGGCTCTCTGCCCCGCTCGTCCCACCGTTTCCACCACGGCGCGCGCGCACGGGGTGATGTGTATAGAGTCTGCTCCAAGCGCGTGTGCGCTCGCTCGCTCGCTCGCACGCGCACGCGCGTGCGCGAGCGGCCCTCCACGTACGTGGGCGAGGCGGCGAGCATAGTCTCTTCACGCAAGAGTCGTCTTCATGCAGGCGACGACTCTCTTCACAAGGCCCAAGTCCTGGGCATGAATGAGCAACACACAAAACAACTCTAACACTCGTTGTGCGAGGCGTGAACCGCGCCATTCGCTCTCACCTGGCAACCCTGTCTGCACGTCTCGCGCGCGCGTGAACAGGGCTCCAGGCCCCAAATGACGTGTGAGTGTTAGAGTTGTTTGGTATTGGCCAGCCCCGGCAGCCGTCTTTCGCTCCTTTCGTCGAGCCACAACGTATTTGTCCGGACCGTCGAGGCGGGCAGCGAACACTCGTTCGAGCATCGTAGACGACGCCCTCACCGGCGCCCCCGCGTCGTCGTTGGCTTTGTTCGCCGCCTTGTCTGCTGCCCCCTTCTCCCGCAAATCGAGCTGCGCCCGCACTGCCGCCATCGCGTTCGTCGCCTGCGAGGCGACCTTCGCCACCTTGGCCTTCCTCTCCCGCTCTGCCGCCGCCTTCCGGTCCTCGCGGCGGTCCGCCAGCGGGTTGTCGCCGGCGTCAGCAGCCACGATCATGGCCGTGACACCCTCGCCTGCCATGCCGAAATCGACGCGCGTCCCAAATACGCCAAAAGTGGCGGCGAGTCGCAATTACCCGCCCGCCGTCCCGGCGGTCCCGCAGCTCGCGCACATCTCCCTCTTAACCCACCTGTAACATCACATAAAGGTATTGCTAAAAATCTCTCTGCTAGCATGGAGGACGGAGTTGCGCCGAAAGGCAAAAGAAGCCGCGAGAACAAGGGACCGGCAGGCGGCGGCGTCACAGGACGAGGCAGAAGGGAACGACGCGACAGAGGAGGAAATGACAAGGGAGAGAATGTTATGACCCCCCCCCAATGAACACACCAGTGAGGGAGGGCGAGACGATCGAGGGGTCCCGTACCATGCGGAATCGACCCTATCCAGTGCTCAAGTGCTCAAGGGAGAGAACGACGAGAGTGGGACGACCGCGAGGTGGCATGAAGGTGGCAGCGAGAAGCGGCGAGAGACTGCGAAGAGAGATAGGAAGAGGCAGACTCCCTAGGGTGGGCGACGGCTAGCGCACCACACACCTCTCCTTAAAATCCCTGTGTGGTGGCGGCGTGCCGTCCTCCCATCCCTCCCTTGGGTTGTCTGTTTTCTTTCTTTCTTTCTTTCATGCTAGCATGCACCTCGCGAGCCGACGTTCTGGCTCAGCGAGGTTGCTGCGGAGCACTCGCGGACCGGTTCTTCTGGCCCAGCGAGGCCGCTGCGGGACACACCGGCGGCTCGGTTCGCTCCTCAACGCAAACTCGGTCGAGCAAGAAGTCAGATGTGTGTGTAAAGGCGGCGCGGCACGGTAAGGGTCGGCGGTAAGGCGGTAAGGCGCGGCAACAGACGCAGGCAGGGCTTTCTTAGGTATCTACTTTAGTTTTGGCAGTTTTTAGTCTGTCTTTCGTTTTTGGTTTGCTTCGCGCTAGCCGCACTCTCGCGCTTGTGATTGTGTTGGGAGCTGCTCGGGCCTCGGCGATGCGCTTCAAACAAAGATGCGTTTTTGTTCTCTCTCTCTCGTGTCTCGTTTGTTTGTTCGTGTCTCTCGGTTAGGGAGCGGTTCAGCTGCTGGGCGGGCTTCAGGCTGTGGTGCTCACACGAAAAGGAATCGACGCGATGTGCAAAGCATACAAGAGGAGGAGAAAAAAGAGGAGAGGCGCCAGTGATGACGAAGCAGAAACTGGCGCAGACGAGAGCAGGGCAGACCCGGGGACTGGGGAGCCGGAGCAGACGGCATCGGCCGCCGAGGGAACGTTGGGAAGAGGCACGAGGAGGGCGGCGACCTCGACCGACTATGAGGACCCGTCGCCAGACGACGCAGGGCAGACGATGTGGAGGCGGAGCAGACGCGCAGGGCGAGACGAGGGAGGGAGCAGGACCTTGCGGAGATCAGCAGGAGGATGTACGAAGAGATTAGGAGCAGCAGGGACCCGAGGCGCGAGGGACCATGTGGAAGACGGCTAGTGCTAGTCCCCCATCGGGAGGACGACCCCTGCAGCCTGCTAGCCGCCGACCACACCCACAAAGAACCCTGCACAAAGATCGCAAGCGGCAAGGGCGGGGATCTGTGTTCCTTTTTACCCTTCTCACAGTAGAGACAAGACTCAAGAGAGGTGTACGTTTTTATTTATTTCCCGGTTTGCAACAACAACAAACAATATCTCGTCAAATTAAGCTGTTAACACAAATCATCTTCTTTACGCGTACGCCAAACGTCTCGCGCGCGCGTGAACAGGGCTCCAGCGTCCAGGCCCCAAATTGATGCGTGAGTGTTAGACTTAGAGTTGTTTGGGATATTGTGGTATTTGCTAAAAATCTCTCTCTCCAAATCTGTGTATTCGGTCCTCGACTTTCGCCTCTTCGACTCTCGTGCCGCGAGATACAGCGAGACAATGTGCGGCAGGCGCCGGGCCACACCATGCTGTGGGACGCCTGCCCATGCAATGCCCCGGGGCACTCACACAATCAGACCCCCCACACGCATCCCGATTCCCGCCCCTCGCCATCATCTCGGCTTCGACGGGCCGACCAATTCGGAGCTCACCGACCCTGCTCCGCCACCAGAGAGCGGCCCCATCTATCGCCACACGCCCCCTCCCGCGCCTCCTCACAGCCGCGCGCCGCTGTCGTACCACGAGGCGACGGCGGGCGGCCTGGCAACGGAGGGCGGCGCCCAGCCCGGCGGCGGCTCCCACTGCTCGCGGGCGGGCGTGGGCGGCATCCGGCCGGCGCCGCGGTGGAAGCCGACAGTCACCTGCGGCGGAGGCGGGCGAGGCTGCGGGACAGTGCTTTGTCCGCTGCGTGGCACTGCGAGGCCGGGAGGGGCTGGTCCCCCATCCCTCCTCTCACACCTTGCCCTTGTAGGCGCTGGCGCGGGGCGCCGCGGAGGCGGAGGCAGAGGCGGACACGCCGCTGAACAGGGCTACAAACTGCTCAAGCAGGTTGGGCGAGGCCGCCGGCGCGGCCGCAGCCTCAGGCGGCGGCGCGCTGATCGCCAGCCGGTCGCCGCGGTCGTACCAGCTGGTGACTGGCTTCGAGGGCGGCGCCCAGCCCGGCGGCGGCTCCCACTGCTCGCGGGCGGGCGTGGGCGGCATCCGGCCGGCGCCGCGGTGGAAGCCGACAGTCACCTGAAGGGAGGGCAACGTCCGCACGGGCTGGTGCTGCGGTGGTGGAGGCGGCATGCACAGGATGGGCGTGCTGCGGCAACACAGGGCTGGCACCTTGCCACGGTACGCCGTCGTCGTCGACGGCTTCGGCGCGGGAGGAGCCACCTCGGCCACTTCCGCGGCGGCGGGTTTGGGCACGGCGGCGGCCGGCTTCTTCTTTTGCTGGTTGTTTATCAGAATGCCGCCAATCGCGGCGACGGCGGTGCCGGCAGTCGCGAGGAGGGCGGGGCTCTGGCTCAGGGCGTCGGCAGCGGCGACCTCGATGCAGCGCGGCACGGTGGTGCGCGATGGTGCGGCGCGAGGTGGGGCTGCCACCAGCAGGCCGAACGCGGCAGCTGCGACGAATGCCAGCATCCTGAATGAAGCGTATCCCGCGGAGCTGCTGTGAATGGACCGCCAGTCGGTGAGAACCGGCCCGAGGGTCGGTCGGCGATCTGCCTGCATGCGTATGAGATCATTATATCAAGCTAGAGCTCCTATCATCTCTGATGAAAAAGAGAAAAACAAGCTAGGCGTTGCCGACTTCCAACTCGGCCGGCCCATGCGGCTCTGCATCGCCTCTCCGACGCCAAAGGAGGTCGTCAAGCCGGCAAACGGCGAATGCCTCGCTGCGCTCGCCAGCCTCCGCGCCGCCGTCTCCGCCGTCCGCGCGTGCGCTGCCGGGTTTGGCCCCGACGAGGCCTTCACCGCGCGCGGGCTCGCCGATCACCTGCACGCGATGTTCCCCCGCCGTCGCTCGTCGGACGGGACGACGCCCGTGCGGATGCTCCCCATGGGCCTGCTCGACCTCCCGCTCGAGCTCATCTCTCTAGTCCTCGCGCGCTGCGACGCCAAGACCCTCTGCCGCGTCGCCGCCTCTTGCCGGCTACTCGGGCTCGGCGTGCCGCCTCCGCCTCCACCGCGCTCGCCGGTGGAGGAGGCGCTTCGCGCGCGGGCCGAGGCGGGCGGGTGGTGGATCCCCGCCTCGCTCCCCGAGGGCGAGTCCTCCTGGCTCTCGATGCTCGCGTGGGTTGAGACCGCCGTCGAGCGCCGCGGGCGGGCGAGCACGTCGGCGGGCGCGCACCACTCACTTCTGCTCGACAGTCGCGGGGCGCTGCTCTCGGCAGGGACGGAGCGGCCGCGGAATCACTTTGCCCACCTCCCCGCGTCGCCCGCCGACGGCACCCCCGGACTCCTCGGCCACACGCAAGGAGTCGTCGCGCCGGGCGTCGGCGCACCGACCCTCGTGACGCCTCCGCGCGCCGTAGCGGCGCTCTGCGCGCGGCCGGTGGTGGCGGTGTCGGCGGGGCGGCACCACTCGCTGGCGGTGACGGCGGACGGCGCAGCCTACTCGTGGGGCAACGGGCGCGAGGGCCTGCTCGGCCACGGGGACGAGGTGTCGGGGAGATGGGGGAGATGCGGGGAGATGCGGGGAGATGTCTGCTTGGCCACGGGGACGAGGTGTCGGCACTTCCCAGACACCTCCTAGACACTTTCTAGACACTTCCCAGACTCACGCGCACCGCTCGGCCGCACTGCCAGCGCCGTGCGGCTCGTGGCATCAGAGACGCGGAGGGGGAGAGCCCGGCTCTGGCGTGTGGCGAGGGTGACTGCCCCCCGCCCTGCCCGCTAGGCGTCGACGGGGGTGCCGCGCCTCATTGAGGCACCCCCCCCTCCCCCCTCCCCCTCCTTCTCCACACCCACACCTCTGTCCCAAGGCGCCTTGCCCACCCCCACACCCGCACCCGCACCCGCGCCCACACAGCCCCTCCGCACAGGCGCTGCGCGGCGTGCGGGTCGGTGCCGTCGCGGCGGGCCGCATGCACAGCCTCGCAGCCTCTCGAGAAGGGCTGCTCTGGTCGTGGGGCCAAAACACCTACGAGCAGCTCGGGCTCGGGGACGGCGACGCGGGGCAGGAGAACTTGGCGCCCGGCACCGGGGCAGCGACGTGCGTCGGTGGACACGCCGCCCCGTCGGCTCGGCGGTGTGTTCGATCCCCGTCGCAGGCGCGCTGCCACCGCCGCCACCGCCGCGGCCACTGCCCCTCGCCTTGCCACTTCTCTCCTCCTGCCTCCTCCCTGCCCTCCCCTCCCCTGCATCCCCGCCTCACCTCCCCCTCCCCCCCCCCCGGCCCCTCGAGGTGTCTGCCCTCTCTGCCGAGAAGGTGACCCTCCTCGCTGCGGGGGGGGACCACTCTGCCGCAGGGACGGCTGTCGGACGCGTCTACACCTGGGGCTGGGCGGCGCAGGGCCAGCTCGGAAGACCTGCCGACAAGAACAGTCCTCGCTCGGTGCCAGGGCTGGTTGCGGCGCGCGCACCTTGCGCCACGCAGCCCCACTTGCCACACTTCCACGACACGTCCGCGACACGTCCGGGCGGTGGGGCGGGTAGGCGCTCTCGGACTCGCGCGTGACGGACCTCTCTTGCGGCGCTTGCCACACCCTCGCCTGCACCGCGCGCGGCGAGGTCTTCTCCTGGGGCTGCGGCACAAACGGCGAGCTTGGCCACGGCGACAGCTTCAACCGGCACTCTCCAGAGCTGATCGAGGCTCTGGTGACGGTGCACGCTTGCGCCGTCGCCGCCGGGGAGCACCACTCGGTCGCACTCTCCGCCGCTGACGGCGCCGCCTCGCCCTCCCCCCCTCCCCCCCCCCACCCCCCCACCCCACCCCTCTCTCTCCCCTCCCTCTCTTCGTGCGTGGCCGTGGCTGGAGAGGTGTGTGAGTCGCGCCACACGCATGTCAGGCGCGGTCTTTGCCTGGGGGCACGGCCGCGGAGGCAGGCTCGGCCTCGGCAACGGCGAGGAGGGCAGCGCGCTCCTGCCACAGCGCGTCTCTGCCCTGAGCGGAGTGGCGATCGCGTCGGTGGCGGCAGGTGCTTCTCTCCCCTCCTGCTCCCGACGCCCCTGGCACCCCGTCGCCTCTTCCCTCGCTCTCCTCCCTGCCGTCTAATGTCGCCCGGTCCCGACACCGCACACGGCAGCGCTCTCACTGCCACGCCGCTCGCGCGCCGCCAGGCGCTTCGCACACGCTCGCCGTGTCGGCCGCTGGCCGCCACTACGCTTGGGGATCGCTCGACGCTTTGGGCTACGAGAATGAGGAGCTGCGCAACCAGCCAACCCCAGCCGAGCTGCAGCTGTCCGAGCAGCTGTGAGACAGGGCTTGGCGGGGGGCGGGCGCTAGGGAGGCAGGCACAGCACGCATGTCTGAGGGAGACGAAGGCGCGGACGTTGCGGGAGCGGCGGGGGGCAGACGGACCCAAGCGCGAGACGCGGACGATGTCCGAGGGCTGCGCCGCGAGGCTCTGACATGCGCGAACACGGAGATCAGTGTTGGAACTCGCATTTCCGCATTAATGGGTGGGTCAGAGGCGCGCTGAGCCCTGTTACCCACGCTCTCGAAAATAGCACAAAACTAAATATGGCGGTCAATATGCGTTTCCGTTCCCACGCGTAGAGCCGTACACGGGGTGCCACTATACTGGCAATTTGAGCTACAACGATAGTTTGATACTGTGTGGGGGCTGGGGGAGGACTGTAATCTGTACGGGACCCTTTATCGTTGATGGAGTACGTGTGTGTCGTGTGTGTAGTCACACGTGTAGACAGCGTGTAGTCTGTAGAGAGAGCGTGTGTACACCACATCGCTACATGAAACTTGGAAAGGGCTGGAGAGCGGTGGAGGGCTCCGGGCGCACGCCGCGCAGGGATGGAGAAAACAACATTCGCCCGTAGCTAATATACGCACCCGGTCACGCATCCGACGAGACTGCGGCCTCGTGCACCTCGCCCTCTCCATGAGAACCCGTCTCCCCCTCTGTCGGCGGCCGCGGATCATACCCGGGTGGCGAGGGATACTCCGCCCCGAGCCCGGCGCCGAGGCAGGCGCGGACCTGCTCTCTCGTCGACGCGCCCGCCTCTCGCGCTCGCATCATCGCGGCCAAGGCCTGCTGGCCCTTGGCGTACTCGCCTGCGGGCGCGCCCTGCCCCGCGACAAAGCTCCGCATCCGCGCAAGCTGTTCGCGCAGCCGCTCAGCCTCGGCCGCCTCGGCCGCCTCCTCGCACGCCGCCTCGCCATCTGCCGGCGGCGTAGCACTCCGCGGCGCGATATGCGGCTCGCTGGGCAGTGCAGTCTCGACGCAGGCTCGAGACGCAGGCTCGACACAGGCGAGCGTGCGCCACGTGCACCCGACAGACAGCACACCGTCATCCGCCGAACGCGTTACGCTGTAGGTGAGTCCGCGTGTCCCGAGCGGGCACGCGCGCAGCCAACGCTCGAATTCCGTCTGCTTTTGGAAGCTGAGCATCGCCGAGCCCCTGTGGAGCGACCCTGGCGAGGTAGAGCCTGCAGGGTAGAGCCCACCCACCCAGGGTACCCTCTCCGAGGACCCATGTGTGTGTGTGTGTGTGTGTGGGTGGGGGGTGGGGTGGGGGGGGGGGGGGGGTCAGCTATGCTACAGACAATTGGGGCTTCTCGGGTTAAGTAGCTTTTCGCGACGGATGCACAGACCAATACTTGGGCTCGACTTTAGTGCGCCGTTCTCAAGCTGCGCCGCCTCGCGCGCAAAGTCGCGCGCGGCAGCGTTGACCGCACGGCCTACTCGCCCAAGTACTCGCTCTCTTTTATGTCCCACCATGCAGAGCGCATCTCTCTCTCTGTTGTGCGAGGCGTGAACCGCGCCATTCGCTCACTCACTCACGCCATTCGCTCTCACCTGGCAACCCTGTCTGCACGTCTCGCGCGCGCGTGAACAGGGCTCCAGGCCCCAAATGACGTGTGAGTGTTAGATTTGTTTGGTATTGCTAAAAATCTCTGAACAAGCTTTTCCTAAAAGAAAGAAAGAAAACAGACAACCCAAACGAGGGATAGGGGAGGAGCACAGGGTCCACACCTGCACGAGCAGGATTTTGGAAGGACGATCAGGGGCACAGGTGGGGCTCTCCTGCTCCTGACAAGGGACACGACAGGCTCGCAGCGCGGTGCACGGTGGAATCCCAACTCCACTGGCGGTCTCATCTCAGTCTAGCGACCTTCCTCCGGCTTCTCACCGGCAGTCTCTCACTACCACGGGCACACTGACACAGGGGTGGCAGGGGCGGCGGCATGAGTCTCCCACATTGATACTATGCGGGCCTCACTAGAGGTGCGGCCTGCGCGTGTCCTCGCCCTTGGGAAGGTCTTGAGGGGGGAGGGGAAGGGGCTGTGTGTCTGTGCATGCATGCATGTGTGTGTGTGTGTGTGTGTGTGTGAGCCTCCTCCGCGCTCGTGGCCTCGCCGTGCGCCTCGCCCGTGCTCGTCTCCCTCCTGGGCTTTGTCGCCACTCAGGGCGACCCGCTGCTGGGCGCCGCGCTCCTCACCGCCTACTCGCTCGGCGAGACCACGCCAGTCCTCCTCGCCGGCATCGCCGCCGGCTCGGCGACGAGGATCGTGAGCCCAGCGCAGGTTCGAGTGGGTGACTCCGGCGAGCGGCTCTGCGCTCTTGGCCACCGGGACATACAACGGTCTCTCCAGCGCGTTCGGGCCGGTGTGATCTGTGATCTGTGAGGGTCCGCCCGCAGGCGCATTGTGTATACCGAGGCGGTGCCCGGTGCCGAGCGCAGGCCGGAGCCCACAGGTCGGACCTTAAGACAGCGTTGTAGATCCCTGGGCGAGGGTGGTGGAGAGGGCGGTCCGTCGGCGCCAAACCACCTCCCACCGAGGCGGGCAGGTTCCACGCGTTCTCCCGGACCGCCCCGTTGGAGGTAGGCCGCTCGTCTAGCCAATCAGCCTTAAGCGAGCGGTCTGGCCGTTGGAATGGCTGAGTTTGGGGGGGGGGGAGGCCAATGGCAATGACCTGCCTAGTAAGCCGACATGCCAGGCATGCCGACCTTTCGGAGCCCCCTCTCGTAGACTTGTGCCGCTGGGATCAAGCCAGTGCGCCCGAGGGCGACGGTCCCCCGGTAGTACGGACCATCCTGCGGCCTTAATTTATTGGACGCAGGCACAAGAGCTCCAGAAGGGCGTCTTCAGGAGGACGACAAAGACTGCCACTGTCTGTCGAGAACCGACACTAGTATCACCACCCGCTGCCCTGCAAGAAGAGCTCCAGGTGCTGTGGGCGTGGGAGGTGCTACTGCACCGCCTGAAGGGTTCTGTCGATCATGCCAAGACCGCACTCAGGCCGATCAGGGTTACTGCGGCTTCTTGCACCGCTGGCAGTGCTGGGCACTCAGCAAGACGCTCCTGTGTGGTTCGATCTTGCACTGCAGCGTGCGCGCGATCGCAGCAGTGAGCGAGAGGTCCCAGCCGGGATGGAGAGAGCCTTCTCCGCGATTGAGCATGCCGTCGCAGCGCGGCAATCCAAGACAGTCTTGCTTCAAGCCGGTGCGCCTGCCAACGCGGGTGGCGAAGAAGCGGCGCGGGGTGGTCGCTATTGGAGCATCGCCCATCACCCGGAGCAGGCCACTTATTACGGTCGAGTAGTGGCAAGCACACCAAACATCACCAACGTGTGCGAGGTGGGTTTCAACGCCGGGCACTCCACAGCGATATGGTTGTCTTCCAATCCAGCTGCCCGGACGTTCACCTTTGACATCGGCACGCTGGATTATACCCCAAGGGCAATGAGGACAATGCAGCGACTCTTCGGGGAACGCTTCAATGTCTTTGTCGGCCCAAGTGAGCTCACTGTTCCGCTGGAAGCTCCTCAGATTCTAAGGCAGATGCAGAAGACAAAGCTGGCTGCATCGGCATGGTGTGACCTTTTGCACGTGGATGGCATATGCCGACATACAACGACTTTTTCAACATGTTCTCCAGTGGGATGGCTCGCTGCAACCAAACCTTGGTCCTGATGGACGATGTCTGCGATCTTCACAACTGCCATTGTCGAACCAAAAACGGCAGGCCATGGTCCCCGTGCCACGGCCCGTCACGAGCCCTCCAACTGATGACCCACCTCGGCTTGATGACAATCTTGGATAAGCACTTTGGTGTAGCTGACCGGGGTTGGGTACTGGCCGCCCCCACATGCCAGGGAGCACACGCATGGCCGCATCCATGCGATCCTAGCGTTTGGAGGGACCACCTTCACATCACAGAGCGGAACTTCAAGAAGGGCCTCTGGGCAAGATTCCAATGTGATGATTGGGAGGCTCAGATGAGAACTGAGATGGCAGCGCCCTTCACTGTGTTGTAGTCCATGGGGCGTGGGGCCAAGCTAATCGAGAGGTGGCATGAAGGTCGCTGCGAGAATTGGTGAGAAACTGCGAAGAGAGATAGGAAGTGGTAGACGCCCGAGGGTGGGCGACGGCTAGCACCTGTGACTCCTCTCCTTAAAATCCCTGTGTGGTGGCGGCGTGCCGTCCTCCCATGTCCCTCCCTTGGGGTTCTCTGTTTTCTTTTTTCTTTCTTTCTCTTTTCTCGCATCTCCCTCCCTTGGGCTGTCTGTTCTTTCTAAGAGGCCCAGGGAGGAGGAGTGTGTTGCGTGACTGTCACTGTGCGATTTCGGGCCCGGAGGTCGTGCTTTTGTGTGAAGTTATACTATCTTCAACCTTGCTTTTTCCATTGGGCCCTCACGCGAAGCTATCCAGGTGCAGCCCGAGTACGAGGGCGGCGAAGAGCACGGTGACGGCGGCCGGCACGGGCCTTCTCGCGCGCCAGCCCAGCCACGCCAGCCCGAGCACGGCGGGCAGCAGCATCTCGACGAGGGTGAGCGCGACCGCCGCCCCGACGGAGGAGGAGCCGTGCTCCAGGCCGAGCTCGCGCTCGAGCCTCTCGGCGCGCGCGAGGAGCTCGCCCGCCACGGAGGACGCGGCGGTGGTGCCTCCACCGCCACCTCCTCGCCGCGCGTCGCTCACCTCGCACGAGAGCTGCATGACCACAGACCAGCGCAGCCCGGCGGGCGACCCCGCCCGCCCGCTGCCCGCGTCGGCCGACGGCCAAGCGGCGCGGTGGTGCAGCGCGCCGTGAAAGACGACGGTGCGACCAGGCGACGGGACCAGCCGCAGCGCCGCACGCCGCGCCTCGCCGTCGGCGTCCACGCCTCCGGCCACCTCCTCCCCGTCCACGCTCGCCGCAAACTCGGTGTGCCCTCCCCACGCCTCCGGCCACGCCTCGTGCGGGTAGGCGAGCACCGTGAGGAGCTCGCGCCGCGAGGACGCCAGCCCCGCCAGGTGCAGCAGCCGCAGCAGCCCGAGCAGGCGGCCCGCGAGCGGCCCGAGCGCCTCCGAGTCCGCGTGGAACGAGTCGGGCGCTAGCTCGCGCGAGAGAGAAGTCACATACGCCTTGCGCCGATGCGCCGGCCGGTGCTCGCAGCTTGTCGCACCGAAGGCGTCTCGCATGGCGACACCGTGCTGCGCCGCAAAACGCTCGAGCATCGCCTCTGCCGTTGCTGCGTCGAAGCTGCACCGCCGTGCATTCGGCGGTGCGCCCGGCCTGACGCCGATGGGAAGCCAGCCGGACGAGCGCTCTGCCCCGCCACGCATGCATGCCTCGTCAGCGCCCGGCAGCCAGGCGGTGCTGTCTGGCGAGTCGGCGACGAGGACACGCCGGTCCGCGTGGATGGTGTAGACCACGCCGCCGTCGAGAGGGGTGGGGATAAAAGGCATGTAGCTGCACTCCAAGTGCTCCAAGCTGCAAAGAATCAGAAAAAGAATTTTGACAACGGACGATTCGCGCAGAGTGAGAGACTGCCAGTGAGAAGCCGGAGGAAGGTCGCTAGTCGAGAGAGATCGCCAGTGGAATAGGAGTCCACCGTGCTGCGAATCTGTCGCTGTCCCTTTGAGCTTTGTCAGTGTAGCAGGAGAACTAGGAGAGCGCAACCAGAGAGAGAGAGATTCCAGTAGGAGGCCCGCGCCTGCCCCCGTCCGCCGGGTGCAACTTTGTCCTATACGAGAGCGGAGAGGGGGATCCCTGGGACCCTGTCGTGTGGGTGAACCCTTCCCAGCCCCCCTGCGTGTCGCGATGCGCTCCCCGCTCCCGTTCCTCCCCTGTATGAGGGTATCAAGCGAACCAGTTTAGACCATGTTTAGACCCAGTTTAGACCACGGCTGAACACGAACCAGATTAGTCCTGTTTACGATAAACTGGGTCTAAACAGGGCTCGGCCTGGGTGGGGGACCCCATTAGCCATACCAGGTTTAGACCCGGTTTAGGGCGCCCCTAGCTAGCTCCGCCGCCGCGGCCGCGCTGTGGCTGCGGAAGCGGCAGCGTGCAGCCGCCATCCTCTGCCTCGGGCCGGACAGCACACCTGGCACACTTGCACCGCGCAACAACAGCCTCGCCGATCAGGCGCACGGTCGGTGTTAGGGCGCGACGTCGGGCGCGGCGACAGACCAGCTGGCGGCGCCTGCGCCTGGCAAGAAGCGGAAGCGCGTTGATTTCAACGGCCGCAAAGGTGCTAGTAGAAGTGGTGTTGGGTTGAGCAGTGGTACTCACTGCCCCTCACCAAATGCTTGCAGGCGATGTTCCTGGCCTCGCTCCCGACGTACCGCGCGAAAGATGAGGGGACGCGCTGCGGCTTCTGCAAGCAGATCTTCGACACGGCGAAGCTGTCGGAAGAGTCCTCGACGCGGCCGCGTGGACCCTCAAGATTGCCATGCACAACCTCGACAAAGAAACAAAGACGCAAGAAAATAATAAATAAAACGGACACACCAAACAAGGGATCTATCAAGGACGGGGTCCCCGCCTGCACGGACAGAATCTCGCACTACCCCTCGGCGACGGGGGGAGGAACCCCATTAGCCATACCAGGTTTAGACCCAGTTTATCGTAAACAGGACTAATCTGGTTCGTGTTTAGCAGTGGTCTAAACTGGTCTAAACTGGTTCGCTTGGAACCCTCCTCCCTGTGTCCCTGATCGTCCTTCCAAGATCCTGCTCGTGCAGGTGGGGACCCTGTCCTTCTCCCATCCCTTGTTTGGTGTGTCCGTTTTATTTATTATTTTATACTGCACTTTGTTTATTTATTTATACACGATTCGCGCAGAAAAAGAATTTAAACACAAGAACTCTCTCTCACAGCACACACACAGGCTCGACACAGGTGCGAACTGGCGCGTGCTAGTACTGCAGAAAAAGAAAGGACAGGGCGAGTTGTCTGTTCTTTCTAAGAGAGAGGCCCAGGAGGAGGAGTGTGTTGCGTGACTGTCACTGTGCGATTTCGGGCCCGGGGTTGTGCTTTTGTGATCTGTGATCTGTAAGCACAAAGCTCAAAGGTCAAAGCAGTCAGGGTCCGCCCGCAGGCGCATTTTGTATACCGAGGCGGTGCCCGGTGCCGAGCGCAGGCAGAGCTCACAGGTCGGATCTTAAGACAGCATTGTAGATCCCTGGGCGAGGGTGGTGGCGCTTTTGTGTGGCGGAACAGAGCAGACAGCTGCAGACGCCTTCGAGCGCCTGCAGACCAACCGACTCGAGGACTGCGGCTGCGTGTCAAACGACGCCAAGATCAAGGCCATCTGCCCGGCGGGTGGCGTCGACGGCATCCCAGCTGCAATCCTCGAGCAGCAGGAGGGCGAGATCCAAGGTGTCAAAGTCGTCGGCACCTTTGTCGCGCCCGACACCGACGCTGGTCGCCAGTACGAGCGAAACCAGCTGTGCAAGACGTTCGCCAGCAGGTTCAAGGTACTCGACGAGGTCGACCAACTGCATGTATGTACACACAACACCGCAGAGAATCAGAAAAGAATTTAAACATTCAGAAAAGAATTTTAAGAAAGGCAGCGCCACGATTCGCGCAGAGTGAGAGACTGCCAGTGAGAAGCCGGAGGAAGGTCGCTAGTCGAGAGAGATCGCCAGTGGAATAGGAGTCCACCGTGCTGCGAACCTGTCGCTGTCCCTTTGTCAGTAGCAGGAGGTCTTCTGATAAACGCAGTATGGAAGATACAAAGAGACGGAGGAGCAACGAGCGCCCTGGCGTGAGCCAAAGACACTCCCAACTGCGCTCCGTCACCGGTGTCGCGGTCTCCCCCACTGAGGGCGATCTGCGGGGGGGAGTCGCGCCGCCGGCATGTATCTGTGCAACTGTGTTTTTGCCTTGTCCCGTTTGATGGAGCAAAGCCACGGGCCGCCCGCGCTTGAAGGCGGTCGCGCCAGGCGCGGGCGGCACTAGTTGCCGGCGATCCGCTTGGGCAGCGCCCGCGCTTGCCTCTGACTGGGTCTCCATAGGTCGCGCGGCCCGAATGCTCGAATTGAACGTCTCGCAAGCTGGCGTCGCTCGCGTAACTGTGGCAGGGCGATCCTCCCTCCGGTGGAAGGGAGATCTCTAGCCTCCTAACGAGGTTGCCCTCCGCCTGGCTGTTGGCGACAGCGGTTAACACCTCCGCAGTGCTGGCCACTTCGAGACATTCGCCAAGAACGCTAGCTACATGGGAGGGCTTTTCGTGAAGGATGGATTGAAAAACATTCGAACAAAGAAGAGGCGACGGGAGGAACCGGCAGAGGATGCAGTGACGTGAGACACACACACACACACACACACACACACACACACACACACACACACACACACACACACACACACACACACACACACACACACACACACACACACACACACACACACACACCCCGCTCACCCACGCGCACCGGGCCTTGCACTTTGAATGCCGTGGGGCTCCTGTCGTTAGACGTGGAGACGCGAGGGTTGCCCCCCCTTGCCCCACCACCTCGTGTGTGTGGAGAAGTTTACCTTACCACCTTACCTTACCTTACTCGCAATCTCTTTCGAGTTTACTGACGAGTGACGTATGTCGGAGGTGCCGCGTTTTTTGTGAAGTTCTAGTGAAGTTGGCAAGGTGTACAACGTCTCGCCCTACCTCCGGTACCACCCGGGAGGTGCGGACACGCTTCTCGACACGGCCGGCACGGACGCCACAGCCCACGCTTGGTCATATCCGAGAGCTACACGCGAGAGAGTACTCAGAGAGACTTAGAGACTGCCGTACACACACTAAACGACATACCTCAGAAGCCACTTGAGCGCCTGAAACTTCGGACTGAGTGCTGGCCCTCGCGGTGCTGTTATTGCCACGGCGCCGATGGCAGCGGCCTGTGGATTGAGGTGGTGAAGCTGACGGCGAGCGCGGCGATGCTGCCGATCGCCTCGCGCCAGGGCGCCGCGCTGCGCGCAGCCTGCCGGCTTTGGTCCATCGCCACGGTGCCGCGACCGTGCCTCCACAGCTCGATCACCTCGTTGAGCGAGCCGACCTCGGTGTTGAGGACCGTCACCAGGGAGGAGGAGGGGTCGGTGCCGGGGGCGGCCAGCTTGGACGGGAGCCCGCCCGCGTAGAGCTCGAGGAAGCGCGGCACCGTGGTGTACCCAAGCTGCAGCTGGTACCGCCTCAGCTCATAGATGGCGTCGCCGCCGCCGCCGCTCGCGCCCTCGGGCGGCGCCGCGTTTGCCAGCCCGTGCAGCCCAAAGTCAGCGACCAGCGGCGGCTCGACGTAGAGGCACGACTTTCGCTCTGCTACCCATTGGCCCCCGCTGTGGTCCAGCGGGTCGGCGGCGAGCGCTGCGTAGTAGGCGCTGCGCTCCTCATGGCCGCTCCAGCTGTATGTCGTGGTGGCGACGTCGAGCACGCCGCCCACTTCAGGGAGCGTCGCGGTGCGTAGCTGCGAGGAGCGGACCGCGAGCGCAGACGACTGGAAGGCCGCAGCCCATTCCGACGCCGCTCCCGGGTGAAGCCGTTCCTCGCGGAGCTCGACCATCGACGACATGCGGCGCGGGCTGCCGCGGCGAACGACGACGCGGGAGGAGCGCGCAGCACCACGGCGAAGTGAGGCTGACGACATTGCCCCGAAGCTCACACTGCGAAAAGAATTTTACAAGGATCACACACGTCAGCGCAGCGGAGCTTAGGACCGCCGCAAGCGGCGTGGCGTGGGGCGGTTGAGCGTCCCTCCGGGGGCCCCTCTGCGCCGGGGAGGCGTTGTTGGAGGCTAGGACGCAAGCGTCCGTCGCCTTTTTCAAACTCCGGGGGCCCACTCCGCTTACGCTCCGACCCGAATTTGGAGGGCCATGAAGTTTAAGGTGTTGCTGCGCAAAAGGGGTGGCGCGCGGGCGCGCGCGGCGGCGGGCGCCGAGAGCGGAGCGGCAAACACAATGACGTCGGAAAGCTCTGCATCAGCGCTCGAGCAGACCATCCGGCCGGCAGACCACGTACCGCTGCTGCTTTTCGTCCCACTTTTCCCCGAGCCACCCGGGCGGCTCCTGCCCGGGCTGCCGTCGACGCACTTGAGCGTCGTCATCCATTCCGGCCGGAGCTCAGCGCACGCGGCGCACCGCCGTGGAACTGCGAGGGCTTGCTGCTGCTTCTCCCACTTGCCGCTGCTGCTAGGGGGGGGGGGACCCCCCCAGCAGCCCGACCCCCCCAGCAGCAGAAGGCATTGGACCCAGCTCTCCCGCCTCTTCGCCGCCGCCGCCCGCTCCCACCTCGGCTCGTGTTTTAGCGGTATGCTAGATTTTGGTCGGTTGTGTTCTCACCGCGCCTTCGAGCCCAATACACCTTCGTCGTGTCGAGTGCTGGCGTTTTACTAAAGAGCTAAAGACTTGGTGAGATGTGACCAATGGTGAGTCTATCTTGTACTACCACACTGAAAGCCGTATAGTGAGCCACTCACTCGGGCGTCTCGGCTGACGTTGATCGATCAGCGTTGATCTCCCTAGCCTATCGGTCCCCCGCTCGATCCTCGGATCGCTCGCTCGTCGAAATCGATCGACTGAGCTGTCGTAGTGGAGCGTTTACACTTTTCTTTTTTCGAAAACGCGCGCGGCACGAGAGGCGTAGAAGTCAAGAGAGACTGGCGTGCCCCGCGCCCGGCTGGCAGTAGGAGGGTACGCCGGTGAGACCACTGGTTTTGGGATCGACCATAAATTCTCGCCAGCTGCTGTCTGTACAGAGATGCCAGCACCCCCCACAGGCAGAGCGCTCCTGCTGGGGGGGGGGGGGGGGGTCCCGACATGCCTTTAGATGTGCAGGGGGGGTACCGAGCAGTGTGCGGCCGCTCTTGCCAGCAAGAGCAAGAGTCAGGCTGACAAGCTGCCGAGCACAAATCACTGTGAGGGTCGTGAGATTCACACGTGTATTGTTGGTTTTCAAAAAAATCTCAAAACAAAACTAAAAATCTCTCTCTCCCACCCAAAAACAGCTGAGAGATTTTAGCTTGTTTGTTGAGATTTTTGAAAACCAACAAGAAGGAACAAGAGACACCAGAGACCAGTGCCCGAGCGTAAGAAGCCGTTTGCCTCTTGCTTGTTCTTGACCCAATCGGCATGCTCAGGGGAGTTGACCCAGTTGGTACGCTTCTTAGAAAGAGAAACGGGAGAGAGCCACAGGGACCGAGAAAAGAAACCTAGTCGCGTATATCTATCAGCTGTCTCGCCGACTTAGTGCTCCGGTCATCCAAGCCCTCCACTCCGCGCGAAAACGCGATGACCAAACCGCCCGCGGACGCCGCCGGCCGGCGTGCTGCCTCCTCGGCTGCCGCGCCGTTCGCCGGCCTCCTCGCTGGCGTCGGCCAGGTGCTGGCCGAGCAGCCTCTTGACACGCTCAAGACGCGGCTGCAATCTGCGCACTTCGGCGCCTCGGACGGCGCCTTCCGCCTCGCCGTCACCACCGTGCGCGGCGAGGGCGGCGGCGCCCTCCTCCTCGGCGTGGTCCCGCGGATTGCCACTTACCCTCTCGTGAAGCTCTCGCTGTTTTCGCTCTTCGAGGCCTTTTACGCGCAGACACAGAGCTTCGCGCTGGCCGGCGCCTGCGCCGGTGCACTCAACACGGTGGTGTCCTGCCCGGCCGACGTCGTCAAGTCGCAGCTGCAGGTGCAGCGGAGGAAGGACCCGAGCCTCGCGGCGGTGCGGGTTGTGTCGTCGTTGGTGAAAACGCACGGCGCCGGCGTGCTGTACCGCGGCCTCGCGCCACTCGCGGCGCGCGATACGCTCGGCTACGCCATCCTCTACACTGTCTACTACCGCGGGCAGGAGCTTCAGCGGCGGAGCGACGCGGCCGCGGCGGCTCCGCGGTGGGCGATTGGCGGCGCGGCGGGCGCCTGCTTCTACGGCGCAACCCTGCCGATCGACCGCGTCAAGGTACTGCAGCAGACGCAGGCGGGCGGCGCCGCGCTCGGCCTCGGCGAGTGCCTGGCGACGGTGCGCAGGGGCGGGCTCGCCGCCTTCTACCGAGGCGCGGGGCCAACCTTCGCGAGGACCTTTGTGGGGCAGGCGGTCGGCCTGTCGGTGTACGATCTCGTGCGGGGCTGGCAGCCCACCTACTGTGACTAGCCAACCTCCTGTGACTCTGATATCTCTATCTTAACTCTTAATAGGTTTTTTTTCGGAAAATATTCCCCTTGGCTCACTGTTTCTCTTCTTTTGGCAGGACGACGGCGAATTTAAAAAGCCTCTTATGGTCCTGTGTCGAACCTGTGTGCTCTGCGAAGGAGTCCTCAATCTGGCACGAGCACCTGTGCAGGGAATTCTGCGGGCCGATGTTTGCTGCACAAGTTGGGGCGGGTCCAGGTTGACGCTGCCGTTTATACGACGCCGGAGTGAGCCTGGAAAACCGTCCAACCCCAACGCGAAGACAACGCATCCGCCGTACCAGCAAAGCATGTCGGCGGAATCAGTCCATGGCCTCTGCTTTCCCACCGCCCGCGGCGAGCGCTGGAGTGACAGCGAGCGCTTCTACCTCTTCCCGACTGAGTACACGTCGGAGCTCGTGTCGTCTGCCGCGAACTGGGGCTGGCGTTTTGCCGAGCGGGACGCGGCGCGCAGCCGCCTCGTAGGGCTCGAGTCGTGGCAAAACACGCACCACACCACCTTCCAGGCTCCAGTGATACGCGAGCTGGCTTCGCACGTGGCGTGCACCAACAAGTCCGCCGAAGCGAGCGTCTGCGTCGTCGCGGCGCCGCCGCGCGGGAGGTGTGAGCGGTGGGAGCAAATCTGTCCTGGGAAGACACTCGTCGTGGTTGAGCTGGGCAACGTCGACCTCGGCGCCCCGCTCTGCGCGTCGCTCTGGTCGCGCTGCCTCGCGTCGCCACGCCTGCGGCGGGTGGTATCGCAGCGCCCGCTCCTGCGGTCCAAGCCGTGGCGGGGCCGCTGCAGCTGGGCTGACAACGGGACGATCGAGATGCCGTACGTCGGCCACGCGCGCGCAGCCTCGCTCGAGGCGCGCAGGCGGACGCATCGGGTGGCTGTCGCGATGATGGCGGGAGGGCACTGGCTCGGCGACAAGAACAACATGTCGAGGGACTGGCGCGAGCCGCTCCTGAAGGCGCGCGGTGAGGGGTGTCCGTGCCCTTGCCGCGTGTGCCATCAGACGTCCACGACACGTCCACGACACGTCCCGACGCATGCGGCGGCCACCCGCCTCGACACGTCCCCGCCTCGACACGTCCCCGCCTCGACACGTCCCCGCCTCGACACGTCCCCGCCTCAACACCGTCCCCGCCCTCGTCGATGACGCGACGCGCTCCACGCGCAGGCCTGCCACCGGACGAAGGGGTGCGTGCCCGTCCAGCCCAACCGCTTCTACGCGACCGAGCCAAAGCCCTTCCGAGGCGCGCTTCGGAACGGCACCGCGCAGCCCTCTCCTTGGCGGCGCGGGCGGCGCCTCCACCCGGCGCTGCTCCCCGCCCGTAGGCAACGCGCCCGCCGAGTTCCTGTGGGCCGCCGGCGCCGCCTACGCCTCCTCCACCTTTTGCCTCCAGCCGCCCGGCGACACGTTCGGCCGTTCCGCCATCGTCGACGCGCTGTCCGTCGGCTGCATCCCTGTCTTTTTCCACCCGCGGCAGCTGGAGCTGTGGCGCGCGCTGCTCCCGCCCCGATCCCCTCGAGCCCCCTGCCGCACCCATCCCCACGCTACCCCACCCACGCCCGCCACTCCCGCACCACGCCGCGCCCTGTCGCCGAGATGACATGGGATTGCCCGAGATGACCCGAGATGATCCGAGATGACCCGAGATTGCCTTGTCGCCAGGCCGCGCTTCTGGAACGCGTCGAGGGTGAGCGAGGGGCCGCACACGACAGCCGCCCTCGACTTCACGCGGGGGGTCGCCCCGAGCTGCGACAGTCCGGTAGCCGCCGGCGCCTTCCGCTCGGACGCGTCCCCCGGCGCCATCTCGCGTAGGTGGGCCTCGATCGCACATGGACTACAGGAGATGACATTGAAACTAGATGTCCCACGGCGCCTCTCGTAGGTGAAGGTCGAGGCCGCCTACCGCCACCTCGCCAGCCTCGCGGGGGAGCGAGTAGAAGAGCTGCAGCGCGCCGTCGCCCAGGCGCCTCGGACATTTGCGGGGCCCGCGCCCTCCTCCCTCGCGTCCACGACACGCGTCCACGACACCACGACACATCCACGACACGCGTCCACGACACCACGACACGTCCACGACACGCGTCCACGACACCACGACACGTCCACGACACGCGTCCACGACACCACGACACGTCCACGACACGCGTCCACGACACCACGACACATCCACGACACGCGTCCACGACACCACGACACATCCACGACACGCGTCCACGACACCACGACACATCCACGACACGCGTCCACGACACCACGACACATCCACGACACGCGTCCACGACACCACGACACATCCACGACACGCGTCCACGACACCACGACACGTCCACGACACGCGTCCACGACACAAGTCACATCCACGACACATCCACGACACGCGTCCACGACACCACGACGCCGTCCGGCAGGCTGCCCCGGCGATGGTTCACCGCGGCGAGGAGAGGGCGGAGCGCGGCGGCGCCCCGCCGATGGACGACGCGATCGACGTGCTGGTGCGCCACGTGTTGGCCGAGGGGCGGGCGGAGGCGCGGCGCGATGGTGGCGGCGAGCCGACAAGATCGCACGCCGCTGCCCTGCACGGGCTGCGGGCGCGGCGCAACCGGCGGGCAGTGCTGCCGTCGACGGTCGGCAGCCGGGTCGAGGACCGGGAGGCTGATGCGCGAACGTCACAGCCGGGCGAACCGGCCGCCACGGCCCTCCCTCCGCGCGGCCAAGCTGCTGCGGCGGCCACACGCCGTTTCAACTGCCGGACCCGCGAGCGGTGGGGCGGCGCCAAACGGGCGTGGTGTTGCGAGCATGAGAGCCTCGGCTGCGCGGTTCGCTGGCCCGAAGCCGGGGATGTTGCGTAAACTTTCCTAATTATGATTCACATACACATACACTGATAAAGAATTTTAAAAAGAAAGAAAGAAAACGGACAACCCAAGGGAGGGATGGGAGGACGGCACGCCGCCACCACACACAGGGATTTTGAGGAGAGGGGTGTGGTGCGCTAGCCGTCGCCCACCCTTGGGCGTCCGCCTCTTCCTATCTCTCTTCGCAGTCCTTCTCCGATTCTCGCTTCAACCTTCGTGCCACCTCGCGGTCGCCCCCTTCTCGTCGTGGTCTCCCGGTAGGGAGCAGCGCCTCCCCCCTCACCACGCATGTCAGGCGCGGCCGCCGCCGAGCGCGGCGGCCGCCCAGGCCTCGTGGCCGATTTGTTTGTCTCGCAAGAGGAGCGCATTTCTCAATTCAACTACTCCTCTCCTTCGAGACCCTCTCGCGCTATGAAGGCGGGCGAGAGGAGGGAGGGGCCCCTTGCAGAGCTCCCTTCTCGCTTCTTTTGAAGCGAGAAATTCTTCCGGACCGCTCGCGGCCTCTCGCGCGCCAAGAGCGGCTTCTCGCCAAGAGCCGCTTCTCTGCCCGCGCTCATGGCTTCCATAGTAAGCGCCCGATCACAGGCCGAGAAGGACGCCGAGGGCTTTGCGAACGCGATCGTACTCTCTTCGGACGAGGACGAGGCGCCACCCGCACTGCCACGGCCAGCGCCTGCGCCCGGCGCGTCGGCGCCGGGGTCTTCGGCGCCAGGATCGTCGGCGCCCCGCGCGTCGGCGCCCGCGGGCGGGGCGGCGTCGCGCTCTTCCCACGACGGGGAGGACGTCAAGCCTGACGTGAAGCGCATGAAGCCCGACCCTGGCGGAGCGCCCCAGCGGAGCGCGCCAGACGGCCAGCCCTTCCCTGGCACCACCGAGCTGTCTGCCGACCTCTCGTTCGGCGAGCCGCGGCCCTTCAAGTTTGGCAGCGAGACGGACTCGCCGCGCCGCGCTGGGCACGTCATCTTCAAGCTCTCGTCGCCCGTCCCGGCCTCGGGCTACGACCGCCACCACGGGCAGAGCCACGTGAAGCTTGGTACGGGCTACGAGATCAGCGGTCTGGCCAAGGTGCAGGCGGCCCTGCCGTGGGAGGTCAAGGTGGAGGACGGGACGAGAGGCCTCGAGCTCAAGGACAGCGTGCAGCGGCTCTGCGACCCGCTCAACACGTGCACGCCCGGCCGCGGCAAGCACCGGCCGTGCCGCCCGTACCGCTGCGTCTGCCCGGCTCCGCTCCTGCACGTCGAGTGGCAGCCACCGCTGCCGTGGAGCCTGCGCCGCGGCCAGCCTCCCGTCTGCGTGCGGCTCGACGTGTGGCTCCAGCCCGACATCTTCGACATGCGCATCTCTGCCTGGGGCTCGCAGCGCTCCTGCTTCTTTGACGTCTGGCAGCTGATGGACAGGATTGTGCCCTCGCACCGCCCAATCCCGCGGCCGCGCCCGCCGCCCGTGCAAGGCGGCGCGCAGGCGCTCACGCCCGCAGGCGCGGCGACCGGCGGGGTCCAGCCGGCCGGGCCGCCGGGCGCGTACGCCTTCACTCTCGCCGGCCTGATGCGTGCCCTGGAGAGCGCTGGCTACCCGGAGATGGAGCAGCCGGACGGGCTGAAGCTGACGCTCTTCCAGTTCCAGCGGCAGTCGCTGCAGTGGATGTACGACCGCGAGACGGACGTCGGCGGCCTCAACGCTCTCTTCTGGGAGGAGCGCCCCTCCGACGCGGGCGGCGTCGACCGCAGCGGCGCGCCCGCCGACCACCGCTTCTACTACAACCCGATGGCGGGGGAGCTGAGGTCCGAGCCGCTGCCGGTCGTCTCCGGCGGCTTCCTCTGCGAGGAGATGGGCCTCGGCAAGACGGTGGAGATGTGCGCCCTCGTGCTGGCAAACAAGTACTCGCGCGCCGCGGCCGACGCGGGCCGCGCCGTCCTCACGACGGGCGCAGCCTTGCCGCCGCACTCGCGCGCGACGCTCGTCGTGTGCCCCGTGACGCTGCTCGCGCAGTGGCGGCGCGAGATTGCAAAGTGCAGCGGCGACACGCTCAAGGTGCTCCCCCTTCCTCCGCATCTACCCCTCGCGCCGCGCGGATACGGATCCTCCTTCGCGCTGTCAGGTGCTCACCTTCCACGGTGCCGACCGCACGCAAGACGCGGCCGACTTTCTCGACCAGCAAGACGGGAGGGCGGGCCCGGACGTGGTGCTGACGACCTACGAGATGCTCTCCCTCGAGGCTCGCCCAGGGGCGCCGAAGACGCTGCGCCGCGTGCACTGGTGGCGAGTGGTGCTCGACGAGAGTCAGAGGCTGCCTCGGCCGGCCGGCGTGAGCGGCTCGTCGGCGTTCGCCGCCATCGCGCGCGAGTGCGCCGAGCTGTCGCGCACGCACAGCTGGCTCATGTCGGGCACGCCGGCCGGCTCGGTGGTGGATGACCTGCTCGGCCAGCTGATCTTCCTCGGGGTCGAGCCGTACTGCAATCGCGGGGCGGACGGCGACGCCTTCTGGGAGCGCGAGATCTCGAGCCGCTGGAGGGAGAGGAGCGCCGACGCCCTCGAGGTGGTGCACGATTTGCTCGGCCAGATCATGATGCGGCACTCGAAGGCGCAGAGCTTCCAAGGCACGGGCGAGATCGTGACGCTGCCGCCCAAGAGCGAGGAGACCGTCCTCGTGCCCCTCTCGGACGCGTCCGAGCGAGTCGTCTACGGCGAGCTGGAGCGGCTCTGCCAGCAGGCCATTGCGCGCGGCCAGCAGGCGCTGCGCGGAGGCAGTCAGGCGCTCGGCACGCGCGAGCTGCAGCTCGTCGCGACGCACCCGGCGACGCTCAACATCGAGCAGCTCGAGGGCAAGCTGCGCCAGCTGGCTGGCGACCCGCAGCCGGACGACGCCCTCCCGCCCAGCCGCAGCGGCCGTGGCCGTGGCGGCCGAGGGCGTGGCCGCGGAGGCGGGGCGGCGGCCTCGTCGCCCGCACCGTCGTCGTCGTCGTCCCTGCCGGCTGGCGGCTCGCGGCTGCTGCGCGAGCTGCTCGCCAGCTCACCCGACGACAGCCGCGCGCTTCAGATGCAGGCGATGCTGGACGACGCCGCGCTGCCCCTCCCCTCACAGCTGTCGCGCTGCGGCTTCTGCAAGGCGCCGCTCGGAGGCGCGGGCGCGGCCGACGTGCTGCCGGCAGGGGACGCGCTCTTCACGCGCTGCTGCCACCTCTTCTGCCCTCGCTGCGTCGCCGGGCGCGGCGCCAACAACAACTGCCCCGAGTGCTCGGCCCCGAATGCGCTGCTGACGGCGGACTGCCTCGTCTTACCGCTCGACTCCGCGCCCGCTGTTTCCGCCGCCGCGAGCTCGAGCGACCCGGCGCCGCCGCCGTTTGAGTGGGACACGCCGGCGCTGCCTCCCGCCTCCAAGCTCGACGGGCTACGGGTGTGGGTGTGCGACGGCGCGGTGGGCGGCAAGTGCCCCGACGGCGGCTTCTCGCAGCGCCCGACGCCACACGCGATCGACGGGCTTCACTTTTGCTCGATGCCGTGCGCCGAGAGGCGCTTCAAGGCGGCGCTGGTCTCGAGGGACCACGGCGGCAGCGCGTACGTGGCGAAGCCGGGCGAGGCGCAGCTCGGCTGGGCGGGCACGCAGGGCCTGCTCGCCGGCAAGACCTTCTGCCGCTGCCCTGGCATGTCGGCAAACGCTGCAGCAGTCAAGGCGCTGCGCAAGGCGCGCGAGGAGACGCCGGAAGAGGAGGCGTGGGAAGGGTTGCGGCTCTACGGGCAGGGCACGACCACAAAGCTGGTCGCTGACCCGCGCGTGGCGCGACTGCCCGACTTCCCCTCCGACGCGCCGCGGCACGCCTTCGAGACGCACCTCGATGCGGCGGGCGGCCAGCGCCTCTACGGCATGCATTGGCCGCTGCAGCTCGGCAGCAAGCTGACCGCCGTGATGCGCGAGCTGCGCGCGCTCAGCGCGGCGCGGGCGGCGAAGCCCGCCAGCCGGAAGCGAGCCGTCTCGAACCGCGGCGGCGGCGGCGGCACCGCCACAAAGGACTCCAAGGCGGTCCTCTTCTCGAGCTCCGAGGCGGTCCTCGACGTGCTGAGCGCGCAGTGCCGGCAGGAGTTTGGCGACGGCGCACTCTCGCGCATCGTCGGCTCGTCGACGCACGAGGAGCGCACCGAGGCGCTCGACAGGTTTGGCACGCAGGCCGCCTGCTTCCTGCTGCTGCTGCCCGTGCGCGCGTGCGCGTCCGGCCTCACGCTCACCGTCGCCGACCACTGCTTCCTCATCGAGCTGCAGGGCAACGGCGGCCAGGAGCTGCAGCTGATCAACCGGGTCTATCGCATCGGCCAGAGCCGGCCGGTGACGGTCAAGAAGTTTGTGGCGGCGGACACCATCGAGGAGCGGATGCTCGAGCTGCGCAAGCGCTCGCGCGGGCTTCTCGCGGCGCGAGAGCAGCCCGCCGCGGCGGAGACGGCCGCAGAGGCGGACGCGGCCGCCGTGTCGGCGCTCCCGTCTGGGGAGGAGGCCGGCAAGGGCGCGCACAAGAGCGCAAACGCCGAGGCGCAGACGGAGAGGTTTGAGGACTTGCGCTTCCTGTACGGGGGCGCGCGGGCACGGGGCTGAGGGTCGCGGCGGACGCCGCCGGGAGGTCGTTTTGCGTGTACGTCGCGATTGTGCAGCGGCCGTACTCTCATGGCACTGTTGGTACTCTTTTTCTCCCCCCCCCCATCTCTCTCTCTCTCTCTCTCCCTCCCTCCCTCCCTCCCTCCCTCCCTCCCTCCCTCTCTGCCTGTCTCTGTCTGTGTCTCTGTCTCACTCTGTGTCTCTGTCTCTCTCTATCTCTCTCTATCTCTCTCTGTCTCTCTCTGTCTCTTCACTCTTGTCTGCACGTACGGGTCGGCACTTGAGACTTGTGGGTTCTTGTGTGGAGAACATTTTCGTCATAAATACATTCACACGTGCGTGTGTGTCGGCGCTGTGGCCTGTGCCCCGCCGACCGCCCGGCCCCGCCCCCGATGCCTTTTAATCTCTAACGTTTTCCAAAAAAACCCCAGAAATGGTTGGGTAGTAGGGCTAGAGGGTCGCTCTACACTTAGCCTCTGCAGCGAGCGAGCGCCCAACTTAGCCCCCGCACGGAGCCGGGCTCGGACTTAGACGCTGTATGGTCGGGGGCCATGAACTTAGACGGCACAAGGCCAAATCCGGGTAAAACCCGGGTATACCTGCAAAAGTCCAGGTTTACCCGAAAAATACCTGGACGCGTCCCGACCAACGTATGCCGCGCACGACGCCATATCGCCTTCTCCCAGGGCCAGTGCGCTACTTGCGGCGCGCAACTCCTGCTCAAGTACGCGCACCGTACCATGTGCTGCCGCTATGCGTGCCTTAAGGCGGCTGCGGCGAAGCGGCGGGCGCGGCATGCCGATGGCAGTGCGGACGATGCGGTTGCGATGTGTTCTGCTTCAAGATCGTGGCGGTGCTTGGCATGCACTTGTGCGATCCCAATCAGCTCATCGCAACGCGAAGCAGCGCAACAAGCTGGCTGCTGCCAACAAGGCCCTACAGTTCGAACTGTATGCTAGATCTACCTCACGCGCGGATCGTTCAAAGAGGACCAGCATACACAGGCTTCTCTGACATGCGTTTGTTTGAGCTTGAGGCTATTTATGTGAGAAATGTTTGGCTAGAGATTGCGCTCAAGAAGAGCAACGAGAATCGGAAGAGGAGGATGCTGAGGCGGCGATTGCTGAGGCATGAGGAGGATCGATCCGGATTAGAAGGCGCCCGCCGCAGGCGAAGAAAATTTGGGGGCTAGCGCCGTATCGTTGATCACGGTGGGAGCCTCTTGGCCCCAGGCTGTGCCACGGCCGACTTAGCCGATGTAAGAGGCTCTCGCTGATCTTAGACCGCGTAAGCACCCCAGCGTGACTAGTCACACTTAGACCCGCTCAGCCTCGAGGCTCAGAACTTAGACTACTACCCAGAACCAGTACCCCAGAAAAACCCACAGCACACAGTATTTGATTAACATTGTCTGGGATCGACTAACCCAAAAATACGCGCGTGTTGGCCCTATGTTCGCACAGGAGGCTGTGTGCGCCTCTATACCCTGGTTTGGCTGCCACACCGCATAACTGACAGCAGGTCTGCCATGGCCTGCCGTTTCGCTGTGTGCCAGGCGCGCACGTGCGGGTGCAGAACTTGCACTGGAGCGGCTCGGTCGCGACTGGGGTGGGCTCCTGCGCCGTGACTGGGGCGGGCTCCTGCGCCGCCACTCCTAGTGTGGCGGGGGCGAACTGCGGCGCCGGAGGCGACCGCTGCTGTGGCTGCTGTGGCTGCGGCAGCTGCGACTGCGGCAGTTGCGGCGGCGGCACCTTCCTTTTGTCCGCCGCCGTCTTGAGGTTGTGGCACACGCTGCACAAGCTCTGCATGTTCTCGAGGCCGCAGCTGCCGCCATCCAAGCAGACTGCAAGGATGTGATCCGCCTGCTCAAACAGGGAGTACTGAAGGACGCTCCAGCTTCAGGCTTCTGGCGCGCACAGCTCTGGCCTGCAGTAGCGAGCCTCGTTGGATCTGCGTCGTCTCCTTGCGCAAGCGGACGAATGGGGCCAGCCGGGCGACCTCTGGCTTCGGGTTCCTCTCGAAGAAGGAGGCGTAGGCTGCCTTGTAGTCAGCCCGGCTCGCACCCGGCGCGAGAGTGGACGCGGCGTGCCTGTGCGCCTTCCAAATGAGCCCCTACTCACACGGGGGGGGGGGTTTGAGCAGACGCCTGGCACGTGTGCGCCTGCGAGGGGAGAAGAACCTGGCTCCCCGCGACGTTGACCCCGCAAGCCTCGCACCTGCCGCCGCTTCGCATGTGCGTCCGCGCCCGCAGCGACCAGCCGTTGTCGTCGGCGGATCTGAGTTTAAACTCCTTCCTGCAACTGCAGCGAGAAGAGTTGGGAGGGGTCACTCGTGGCGCTATGCGGCTAATCAGGCGATGGGGGTGGCTCACTCGTGGTTGCAGAACAACTTCTTCGTCAAAGTCCGCGAGGAGCACTGAGAGCACTCGTCTGCGAGGGCGGAACATGGATGGGCAAAGGGGCGGCGAGTGCGCGCGACGGGTGTGTCTCTCACATGATCTGGTCGCCACGAGTGTGTCGTCGTACCGCGGAAGCAGACGTCCGGCTTGCGCTCTAGCGACTTCCTGCCGGCGCGACTCGCTGGCGCGCTGCGCTTGCCGAATATTGCACAGCTGATTGACGAGCCCGCCATGCGCCTGCTTTGGTCGAAAGCGCCCGTGGCGCTTCTTGATTTCCTTGCGCAGCGCGGCGTCGTTCCAAAGTGTCAGTTCGGCAAAGTCCGCCCAGCGTAGGGCGCTCATGAGAGTGGTGCGGGTAAAAAAGGTTGCGGCGGGCGCGAGCAAGTAAAGAATTCACAGCGCGCGGCTCGTTGAGCAGGGAGAGCCGGCCCGACCTCCCTGGGCGGGAAGGCGACGCGACCCTATGCCACCGCCCTCGCCCGGGGAAACCTCGGCCGGGCCGTCGATACTCTCGGAACCGGTGGAGCCGGGAGATGCCGGCGAAGACGAAAGGCGGCAGCGGAGAAAGCGGCGCCAACAACGAGGGAAACGACCATACCGGTCGTCGCATAACGCTCGGGAGACGAGCAAGAGAGCGAATCAGGGAGGGTCGGGACCCTGGGAAGGCGAGGGGTGAGCCCTCAGGCGGGGGGGTCTACTCAAACGCCGACGCAAGTGAGGGTAGAGTGGTGGTGTGGGGCGTGCAGTGTGGTGTTCATTAGCTCCGAGTAGAGGGGGCGTCCTGCAGTTAAGGGGAAACCCGGTACGCGGGGCTAACCCTCGGAGACCCGTATTTACTTTACGGCCCTTTCCCTGCGAACGCGCACCCCCAGGGCTAGGGCTCTCTTGCCCGCAACCCGATGCCAATCATCCGGCCCGCTGGGTGCGCTTCTTAGCTCCCCGGCCCTGGATGTGCGGTTGATGACTGCACTCCAAGTGCTCCAAGGTGCGAGCTACACGGGACTTGCGCGCACTGCCACTGGCACTAACACAGGCAAGTAAAGAATCAAGAAACCGCCTCGCACGACTGTAAAAAAAAAACGCAATTTTAGACACGTCTCGCTCCCCGCCTGCCCACTCGCTCGCGATCACGCGCTCGGGGTCCCCCCGCCCTCCCTCTCCATCCATCGCGGAACATCTGCTCACGACTGCGTTTCGGGCTCGATGATCCAAGCGACCGTGAACCAGTGGCGGCCGTTTGCGACGACGTGGAGCAAGTAGGCGGTCTCCGAGTTCACGACCATGACATGGGAGAATGGGATGGTGGCGCGACTTTATACCGTCATATCACATACGACGTGACTCACTCTCGGATTGTGCGAAAGATGCCGAAGCGACAAGCGTAGGAGCGTGTGCTCGGCCTCGTCTATGCATGAGCTGAGCTTCTGCTTGACCGTCATGCGGATGGCTAGCTGCGTGTGGCTGGGCTGCTTGATAGGCGCGCTGAGCCGGCACATCGGCTCGCGCGGTGGGGTCGTGCTCGAGAGTGTGTGGTGAGAGTCCGAAACTAGACGAGACATTCGCGCGCGGGGTCGCTCGGGACACACAATCCCGTCGCGAGATTCATTTCGCGTGCCCTCTCCCAGCCGCTCTCGCTTACTTTCGAAGTGCTGATTTGGCCGCCTCGAGGGCGGCGTTCGCCTCCAACGCCGCCTCCAGCTTCGTCTCGGCGATTGCGGCACGCACTGCCGCCGCTTGGGTCGCCTCGAGCGCCTTGCTCAGCTTGGCCTCGGCGTCGGCGGCGCGCTCGCGCTCCACCTGCGTGACGAGTGGCACACGCGCGTGGGGCGCTAGTGGCGGTCGGGGTGGGTGAGTGGATCTCGGGGCTCCTTGAGCAGTCCTTGAGTTGGGAAGCGAGCACAGCCAGCACCGACGTCTCGATGTCGCCGGCCTGGCCGCTCGAGAGGTCGCCGTCGTTCGACACGAAAAGCTCATCCGCCACGCCGGGCTCGTCGGCCACGACGGGCTCGTCGGCCACGACGGGTGGCGGTGCCGAGGAAGGGCGGCTCGGCCACCATTGGATCGGCTTGTTTTCACCGGGGGCAGTGCGTCGGGCGTCCGGGTCGCGTGGCGCGGGGCTTGCCGCCGAGGAGCGGTCGGGCGCGTCGCCCGTGACGGACGTGCTATGGTATGCGTCCGAGTGCAGCATCGTCGCCACGATTCCTGCGTATTGTGGGCCGCGATACTTGGGTGACGAGACGACCGCGACGGGCGTGGACTTGTCCCTCGCCGGCACCCTGGTTCGCGTCTTGGTGGTCGGATCGACGTCGTGAGCGGCAGCAATATCGGCGTCGGTCGGTTGCTTTCGTTCCGAGAGTCGTGCCGCAACAGACATAGGCGGACAGCGATAGGCGGACAGCGAAGGCGGACAGCACAAGGCGATTGAGTGGAGGCCGCGGCACGGTCGAAATGAGCGCGGCAAAAACGGCGGCTAGGGCACCCGGGGGAGGGGCCCGAGGGGGGGGTGGGGCCGGGAGGAGATAGCGGGTCAGCCGGCGGACCGGAAGGCCGGGATCGGAGGACCCCGGGTGAGGCCTGGAGTCAACTGTCGGAGGAGGAGAGAGTCGAGCTGACTCGGCCTCTGCGAGTGGAGTCGGGCCGTGTGAGCCCACCGGGGGTAGACCCGTCGCGGCGTCGGCTGGACCGCCGTGATTTACGACAAGAGGGACCGCGCCTTCCCGAGCTTAGTGAGGAGCAGGAGGAAGGGGAGGGCGAGCCGAGAACGATAGAGAGGCCACGGGTGCGGGCGCGACTCGCTGACCAGGGAGAGCCGGCCCGACCTCCTGGAGAGGGGGGGCGACGAGACATGATGCCGCCGCCCTCACCCGGGGAGTCGGGCGCGGGATCGCCGGAGACGGAGTCAACAGGATCAAGTAGAGAGGGCGGGACGGCGGCGGGGCCGCGGCCGAAAAAGGCTAGGAGGGGGGGCCGGGCCCCGCATCCGTTGCCCAACCAGCGGAAAGCGAGTGGGGGGAGGATCGAGGGGATAAGAGGGCCCCTCCGGACCGAGGGGGGGAGGCCGAACGGAGAAGCCTCGAGGGGTGACGTCGAGTGAGGATGTACGTCGTGTGCGTGTCTGGTGTTTATTAGCTCCGAGTAGAGGGGGCGCTCCGCTGCTAGGGGAAACCTGGAGCGCGGACTAACCCTCGGAGACCCGTGTTTACTTTACGGCCCTCTCCCTGCGAACGCGCACCCCCCCCTTAGGGGTCAGGGCTCTCTAGCCCGTAGCCCGATCCCGATCATCCGGCCCGCTGGGTGCACTTCTCAGCTCCCCGGCCCTGGATGTGAGGCTGATGACTGCACTCCAGAAAGAAAGAAAGAAAGAAAACACACAACCCAAGGGAGGGATGGGAGAACGGCACGCCGCCACCACACAGGGATTTTAAGGAGAGGAGGGTGTGATGCGCTAGCCGTCGCCCACCCTGGGGGGTCTGCCTCCTCGTATCTCTTTTCGCAGTCTCTCGCCGCTTCTCGCTGCAACCTTCATGCCACCTCGCGGCTGTCCCACTCTCGTCGTTCTCTCCCTTGTCACTTCCCCCTCTGTCGCGTCGTTCTCTTCTGCCTCGTCCTGCGACGCCGCCGCCTGCCGGTCCCTTGTTCTCGCGGCTTCTTTCGCCTCTCGGCGCAACTCCGTCCTCCTTGCGGCGTATCCTGGCCCCTCGAGTCTATCGAGCTCCCCTCGCGCAAGGACCACATTTCTGACTCCCACTCCGATCATTTGCCTCCAAGTCATGTTGTTGCTCAGGTCCACTCTCTCTTCGAACACTCGTGCCTCTACGGATGATGCCGGCGCTGGGGTCCCCTTCGGATGCATCGTGACATCTGACAACTGAATTTCCACTGGTTCGTCCTCCTCTGAGTCATCTTCCCCGTCCTCCTTCCGCTCGGCTCTTCGCTCGGTACGTTCGGTGTGGCTCACCCTCCATGCCGTGAACAGGCGTTTTATCCACCCTATATTCTTCTCTCGTTCCTCTGCCCGTGCCTTGGTCTTGTCGTTGTTTCGCACCCATGTCTGTATGGCAATCGAGGCTGCCTTCCCCACTACCTGTAGTTCACTCGTCACCTCTCCCGCAAGCTCCCTTCTCTTTCTTTCGGGTATGGAGTCCGTGAGTGCGGGTAGCGTGCAGGCAATCACGGGTGCTATTTTGTCGTACTCCTCTTCGGCGAGCGCCCCAAATCTAGACCCTTTCGCCTTTAAGGAGGCTGCCCTCGCTCGTCTCAGGAATGTGGCGGTGTCTTTTGAGTCCGGCGCCTCCCGTTCAACTCTTGCTGTCGCCCTCGCTGTGTGTTTGTCGAGCTTCCGCATGAAGTGACGCGCCTCTTCCTTATTTCCAGCGCAGCTGCCGCTCAGTATATGCGCCAACGACGCCTGTGGTGGCTCACTGTCTTCTTGTTTCCAGTCGTCCCAGTCTTTCAGTTCCCCGCGTCTCCTCCTTGCCTCGCACTCCAAGTGCTCCAAGTGCTCCAAAAATGGACATTTTTTCGGCTCGCAGCCCTCCAAAAACAGGTGCGCGCAGCGCGCCCAGGGGCGCCGCCGCAGGCGCCCCAAGCGGCACGGAGCGCCGCCGCAGGCGGCGGACAGCAGGTGCGCGAAATTAAACGCCAACTCGAAATCCGGGCCTCCATCCATCATTGCTTCTGCCTCTGGCTCTGCAGCTGCGCTCTCCTCCATATCCACCACATTCATCTAAGGGTACCTCGAGATCTTCACACTGCGCCTCCGCCGCACGAAGAGATGTTAGGTCCTGCGAGTCTAGACACCTGGCTCCTCGAGTCGTCCTCCCTCGGTCTCGGTGCGGTCGCGGGGACTATCTGCTCCAGCCGCCCTCCTCGCCCAGCGCATTGCTTTAGTGGTGCGCTCGCCTCCCTCCTGCGCGACGCTCATTCGAGCGCGTTGTCTGTCTCGGCGCGCGCCGCGGAGAGGTGTGAAGCGGGGGATCGTGTCCGGTGTGAAGGGTAACCCACGAGAGTATCAACCTAATACCTATCCTCTAGCGTCTACAGGGGCCCAATGGCAATGCGGGTCCGTCCTCTCAAGAGGGTATCAGGGTATAGCCGTGGGGTATGATTTGCAATACAATGATACTATCTGATACTATACGCGGCGTACAGTCTGCAGAGTGCCACTCTCCGCCGTGACCGTCTCTCGCCCCGCCGCCGCGCCCTCTTTTGTGGGCGGTTTACACTCTCTGGGTCCCAGGAGGACCAAAAATGAACAAAACTTAAACTCGTCGCTGCCCTCGCCGTCGCTGTCCTCGCCGCTGGTGGGGGCCGCGCCGCCGGCGCCGAGCGTCACAGCGTCACCTGCCTCCGCGTCTCTTCCTCTAAGTTGAGCCGAGGCTCCGCCTAGGCGCTAGGGCTCCGCGTCGAGGTAGCCGTCGTACTCGACTTTATTCGCGAGCCAGCCGCCCGAAGCCGAACCCTCCTCCCGCCCCGTGATGGTGGTGGCACGAGACCACAACCTGGCGCGTGCATTGGCCATTGCCACAGATCGTGTAGGACGGACGTGTGCGGTGTGGCAAATTAGTGGAAGTGGCAAGTGCCAGTGGCAGTGCTGCGTGGGACCTCTGGGGTGCTGGGACCCCAATATCCACCACAGATATCCCACCGCGCTCTTATTTTGTAGTTTATTTTTGCGCGCTGTACTTACAACTTAGAATATCAGAACAGAATTGGTCCTGGGCGCAGGGGCGGAGGACCAGACCACGCTAGAGGGCCTATAGCCAGCTCACTCAATTAAGGAGAGGAAGGAGGGCGCAGATGCACAACGACACACACAAATTGTACAACACCGCTCGGGGAACCCTCGGACACAAGGAGAGAAGGCACCTGTGCTCGTCCCGCGCCTGCTCGAATCGCCCGCCTGCTCTCGCTCGACTACGGTAGCTTGATGCCTTCGAACGGCGCTGTGCCTTCACCAGCCGCCGCACACATCCGATGGCCGCGCTGTGCTCTCTCACAGAAGGCTGCCCGACGCTTGCTCGGCCGGCACGGCGACGGCGCCCGCGCGGCGGCGACGCGCCGCGGCGGCGGCGGCGAGGAGGAGGGCCGAGGAGGAGAGGAGGAGTGCGGTCAGCGGCGAGCCGGCCGACCCTCCGCGGTCCGGCGCAGAGGCTGGCCTCGGCTCGGCGGAGAGTGCCTGCGGCGCGGGTCGCGTCAATGCAAGGGGAGTCTCTGGCCATGAGTTCTGGCGCGGGATGGGGGGGCTGCGGCTGGCCGGGCTCGCTCGCTGCTCTCCCCTCGGCTAGGCGGGGCAGGCGCGCCTGCTTGTCGCCGAGCGTGGTCAAGTCCGCGCAAACGCACGAGTGCCAGTACGGGTCCGTGCCGTGGTCAGGGCAGCCCGGCTCGTGCCCGAGGGCTGCGTCGGCGGCGGGCGCCTTGCAGCAGGCGCCGAGCGCGCCGCAGTAGCCGGGGCAGAGGCCGCCCATGCTGCCGCACGCCTCCCAGCAGTCCTCTCCAACGTGATCGATCGGCTCGTGCTTGGACGTGATGACCTGCACGTTGAAGTAGGCGCCCGCGTCCGAGTGGCCTATTGCTCAAGAGGGTGGCGGCTCCTTCCTCAGAGGCCGACGAGCGGAGCGAGGTGCGACCGCGTCCGGGTGGCCCGAGACGCCGCCGAGGATGGGCAGCTCGTACTGCCCGTCGTCGAGGTCGGTCATCAGGTTGGCGCCCAGGTAGTCGTTGACGAAGTAGAGCGAGTCCTGCATGCAGCCGAGGGGTCGTGCGTGCGTGTGTGCGTGTGTGCATGTATGTGCGTGCGTGTGTGTGTGTGTGTGTGTGTGTGTGTGTGTGTGTGTGTGTGTGTGTGTGTGTGAGTGTGTGTGTGTGTGTGTGTGTGTGTGTGTGAGTGTGTGTGAGTGTGTATGTGCGTGCGTGTGTGTGTGTGTGTGTGTGTGTGTGTGTGTGTGTGTGTGTGTGTGTGTGCATGTGTGTGTGTGTGTGTGTGTGTGTGTGTCTGTGTGTTGTGTGTGTGTCGTGGCGTCGTGTGTGCGTGCGCGCGGTGCGTGCTGCGCCTCGTCGAAGAGCTCGAGGAGGAAGGCCTTGTCCGCCGCCTCGGTGATGTCGCAGCAAAAGGACCAGTTGGGCTCGAGCGAGTTGGAGATGACGCCCGTCGCACACTCGTACTTTGGCTCCCCGCCCTGCCGGTCGTTGTGCTCCTGGGAGGGGGCGAGGGGCGGAAGTGCTCTCGCGCTCTCCGGGATCGCCCCTCTTCGTGTGTGGCTATGGCGGTTTGGCTGCGGCTACTCGCGTGGCTGGGCTGCTGGCGAGGCTGCGCCCCCCCCCCCCCCCTCCTCCTTCGCGCCTCGGTGACCTCGTCCTCGTTCTCGAGGTCGGACATGATGTCCTTCTCCATGTCCTTGGTCATGATCGCGGTGTACTGCTCCGTCGCGCGGTACACCTTCTGCTTGGTAAGGTCGTCGCCTGTGGCGCAAGCGGCACACTCCCGAGACGGCGGTGAAAGGAGAAAGGCCCGTACCCCCCCCCCCCCCCGTGCCCCCCTCCCTACGCCCAGCACCCCACCCCCCCTCCTCACACTCGCACCGTGGGTGAGCGCGTACTCGACGAACTTCGGACTCAGCCCCATCCGCTTGTTCTCCTCGCGGAAGGTCGAGATCCTGACCCAGCTGTCCGGGTAGCGGTACTTGCCCACCCGCGGGAAAAAGTCCGACTCGATGAGTCCCTTGGCCGACATGACGCACAAGTACTTGCGCAGCTCGTGCGCCTCGGCGCCGGCCTTGGCCTCTTCGAAGAGGAGCTTGTCGGTCGCGCCCCCCGTCACCTATACGGCTCGACTATACGGCTGGGGGGGAGCACTAGGAGCCCAAATCGTGTGCGGCGAGCACTAGAGGCAGGCACCTTGACGGCGTCGATGTTTTGGGGCGGGGGCGGCGGCGGCGGGAAGAGAGGGATGCTGACGGTCAGGGTGGGCGGCGGCGCGTCGGCATCGATCTCGAACTCGCCGCCGGAGAGGGCGAGCTCATAGGAGCCGGCCGTCGCGTTCCCGGGCAGCACGGCGGTGCCGAGCCAGTCCCCCTCGTCGCCCGAGAAGTCGGCGTCGAAGACGGAGAAGAAGAACTCGGAGTGCTCGTGGTGGCCGTGGACGTAGCAGCAAAAGTCCCACTGTGGCGTCTCGTTGTTTTCGTGCTTGCCGGTCTGCGCGCCGCATGAGAAATGGGTCAGTATATAGCGAGAGGCGGGACGAGTATAGTGCGTGGCCCGCACACGCCTTGCACACGAGCCTTCCTCCGGCCTCCAGCTTGACCCAGGACTCGGGGGCGGGCTTGCGAGGCCATGAATCAACACGCCCCGGCAAATTGGCCGCGGACCTGATGCACACCTCCTTTTCGCATGCGCCGGTCTCGTCGTTTACCTCACACGGCGCGGAGAGAGCGTTCTTCTCGTATTCTTCCTTTCGCTTCAAGTAGTTCGCGCCGGCGTTGAGCCGGTCGTGGGCGTCGGACAGGACCCAGGTCGCGGTGAGGGAGAGCATCAGTTGTATGCGTACCTCGAGGTATCCGGGGTAGTCGCAAACCGGAGGTCCAATGTCGGCGGATTTTACGTATCAGCCGAGACTCTGTTCACGGCGAGGCACCGGTAGGTACGGCAAGGGGGAGTCTCAGTGTTTATGAACGTCTCTTCCCCCCACCCCCCAATCTACGAATCACCCGACTACTTTCCCTTACCTTACCACACGGCACAAACAATAAACGATCTTTGTCAAGCGCAACAACTTTCACCTGCTGCTCCACGAGACGTTCGGCGGCGGCTTCTCGCCCACCGCCGTTCTCAAGCTGCGCCGCCTCGCGCGCAAAGTCGCGCGCGGCAGCGTTGACCGCACGGCCTACTCGCCCAAGTACTCTCTCTCTTTTATGTCCCACCATGCAGAGCGCATCTCTCTCACTGTTGTGCGAGGCGTGAACCGCGCCATTCGCTCTCACCTGGCAACCCTGTCTGCACGTCTCGCGCGCGCGTGAACAGGGCGGTAGAAGAATTCGAGTGAAATCGAGTCAGCACATCCTTGTAGTACAGCGGACCGCCAGGCTCGCCGGCAGCATCCGCAGGGAGGCAGCATATGAGGCACCAGTCTTCTGGAGAGCTCAACAGCTGCGGCCGCGATGGTAGAGTCGGCCGCGGTTCGAGCGAGCAGCTTTTGGCTGCGGGATCGAATCGCGGAAGGCTCATGCCCTCGCGGAGCGACGCGGGTCGCGCGGCGCCGCGCGCGTGTGCGAAATGCGACAACAGACGAGAGGCGCCTGAGCGCTGTACGAGGCCCTAGATGTTAAGTCTGTATTTTGTGTATTTGGAGTTGGGCTGAAAACACAGTGTATTTTGTGTATTTGCTCCCACAAAGCCAGGATACACACTCGATGGGGACCACTAGATCCTACCAGCGCGCCGCAGGCGAAGGAAAATTTGCTGTATTTCGTGAGTTTTCATTGATTTTTCGCAGCTTTGACCAACATTTGACAGGTAATTGAGCTTTTTGGTATTTCGGATTGGGACTTGACCATTTGTGCATGTGACTCCCTGGTCTGCCAACCACCGCCACCACTGTGTATTTGGCTGTGTATTTGCTGTGTATTTGCTCACAGGCCAAAAACACAGTGTATTTTGTGTATTTGCTACCCCCACCCTGTGTATTTAACATCTAGGTGTACGACTGAACGACCGTCGCCGCAATCGCCACCGCCGCCATTTTGACGAGCAGCGCGAGCGCGCTCGTCGGCGGCCAGCCGTCGCGGGCCGGGCCGAGCCCGGCCTCAACCGGCCGCGCCGCCGCAGCAGGCAGGCCGGGAGGCCCGAATGGCGGCCTCTTGTGTTTCGAACACGTGGAGGAACTGCTTGGTGGGCGGCGCAATGCCACCCAAAGTTTCCACGAGCACCAGCCGCGTTATGGCTTTCTTGACCCACTTCGCGTCGTGTAGTGCGCCCCCATCCTTGAAAATCACTCGGCGAGCACAGATTACTCGGAATCGAACAAATTTTATGATTGTAAATAAATAAATAAATAAAACGGACACCTCTACTAGGAGATGGGTAAAAAGGAACAGGTCCCCTTTAGGATTGTAGATTAATCGGATCGAACAAATTTTCCTCGCAGATTACTCGGCTCGTTTTCCTTCCCCATTTCAGTCCCGTGCCCAGTGTGTGTGTGTGTGTGTGTGTGTGTGTGTGTGTGTGTGTGTGTGTGTGTGTCGTGAGAGGTTTCTTCTAAAATTCTTTGATGTGCTGGCCTTTCGTTAAAAAAAATCTCAGCTCGGATCCGCCCGCCGATCTTGATACTTGAAGACACATCACACGAAACCCTCCCTCGAACGAGCAGCACACACAGAGCGTGATCTACGCGTCGGCCGCCTCCCGCTCCACCCGCCGCGACGGGCGGATGCGCAAGCCGTCTCCCGCAACCATAGGTCTCCTCGGACCATATAGGTCTCCTCGGACCGCGGTGAAACCGCACTAAAGAGCAGGCTCGGGAGCACACGACATCCGCGAGCATCACCAGCTGGACGAGCATCAAAGAGAAGGTTCTCGACCTCAACGACCCGACCGCCTTCCCTGCGTTTGGCAAGAGCGGCGGCGTGGAGAGGTCGGCGGGAATGAGCGAGCCCGAGTAAACTGCGACGGAAAAAATGTAAATTCCCGAATCTGTTTTCGTTCAGTTTACTCGGGCTGGCCCCGAGTACATGTAAACTGGTGTGTCTCGCCTTGCGGGGGGCGACGGAAAAAATGTCGACAAAATGTGGTCCCGAATCTGTTTTCGTTCAGTTTACTCGGGCTGGCCCCGAGTAAACTGCGACGGAGAAAATGTCGAAATCTGGTCCCGCGTAATCTGTTTTTTCAGTTTACTCGGAGATCCGAGTTAATGTGATATTTTTTTCAAGAAAATTCTCGCCGGCCGTCCTACGCCCGCTCTAGGCCGCGCTCGCCCCCTTCTCCTCCATCCCCTTCTCTCGAATCCTCATGTCACAACCACCGCCACTGCCGCCGCCGCCACCGCCTCCACCGCCAAGACCGCCACCGCCACCACCGCCACCGCCACCGCCGCCCGCGCCAGACGGCTCCCGGCCTCGCAAGAAGTGGGCTGTCGTGGAGGCGCCGACCGGAGGGCAGAGCACGGCCTTTGTCTACGAAGATTGGGCCGACCTTGGCCGTTCTGACATCGCGGCACCGCTGCCGTGGGCGCTGGCGTCTCGATGCGTACACATCGCGGGCGGCATCGGATCAAACGGCGGCGTGCTCGCTGTCCAGCTGGGAGAGGGCGACGCGGCATCCGCCGTCTGCGTCAAGCAGTTTGACGCCAAGAAGGTGAGGCCGGACATGGAGATGCTCGCCGCTCACCTCTTGCGCGCGGCGCGGGTCCGCGCGCCGTTGGCGCGGTACGCCACGCAGGCCGAGATCGACGACGAGATTGCGCCGGCCGTCGGAAAAGCCTACTTCGAGGGCGGCGGGTCGTGGGCGTGTCCGCGGCTCTGCATGCAGGCCATGTTCGAGCAGCCTGCCATTGTCGCCAAGCTGGGCCTCCCAGACAAGCTGGTGGACGAGTGGCGCGACAAATGGCAGGCCGAGCGCGCGCAAAAGCGCGTCGCGATCGAGGCGGGCGAGGAGCGCGCGGAGGCGATCGCTGTGATTGAGTTTGTGCGAGGGCCGACCCTGCTGCAGGGCGGAGGGGGGGCGCTCGGCGAGGCGGAGTACGAGGCGCTGGGGCGGCTGGCCGCATTCGACGTGCTGCTCAACAACTTTGACCGCCTGCCGGTGCTGTTTGACAATGAGGGCAACCTCGCCAACGTCATG